ATTACAACTTATTTATGTTTGTATCAATTACGCTCTTGAATTTAGCGATTGATCACCGTGACTTAAGTTAAATTAGAGCATATTCTTATAGAGACAAATGTTACTAACCTTTAAAGAGTGTGGGACATAATTGAACTTGAAACATCTGAATTATTAAAGATCAGGTTTAACCACTGATCCACACTTAAGGGATTCCTTTCTTCCTTTTTCTTCTTCTGTCTTTCTATAAAATCTTTCAAAAGAGTATCATTGTTACATTGAATATTTATTCCATCGAAAGGGAGTTAATTTCAATTCTCGGGACACTTGGCAAAGAAGAAACAATTTCTTTGGGGGTGGGCTTGGTACTTACGGATTAGACAAAGCCCAGTTCTAAGATTGTAGAAAGCTTCTAGATTCTAACCCAATCGAGTCTTAGTTTTGCATAGTCCAACCCACAGTTTGCCGATAGCACTCAATGTCACTCATTCTCTCTCTCTCTTAGGAGAGTACCATTCAACAAATTTTTTAAAAAAATATTTCATTCAGATTTTTGAGGTTTTATAAAGACGGTAATGCCTTATTATTTTAGTCATGATTACATGAAAACTTTTGCCAATATACTTGGTGAAAATTTGTCAATGAAATACCACCGAGGGATCGGTCCAATGGATATGAAATTGAATTTTTTTGTTTAATGTTTGAATTCGAATCACCATAATTATGATAAATCTATGTGGCTAAACTTACTTTTTAACATTCAGAGCACACGGTACAACTTTAACTTCGGTTCTAAAGTAAGTGCAGTGTGATCTCTTTCTGATAATTTTGTGGTGTTGAAAGATAATGTTCCTTGACAGATATGTTGAGTGACCTATTTATATATCCATTTTGATGGTATTTATAAAGCCAATAATGCAAGCTTTGGTTGAGGATCAAATGGTTCACAAATGCACGAGTTGAGCTAGATTGAAATTAAGTCTAACCAATCATAAAAGCTGTCTTTTATCATTGTTTTTTTTATAGAAAATAGATTTATTTTTCTTTCTTTTTTAGGCAAGTCAATCATTGTATTATTATCTACATATTAGTTTTTTTGATCCAATCCACATATTAGTTAATGCATGGAAAGTAGAGTATATAATAACTTTGAATTGGTGACTCCTCACAAGCGAAGATAGTCCAAAAAAAAAATAATTATATGTGATAAATTTTTATTAGAAAAAAATAGAGATATAGTACCCAAAAAAATGGTATTTTTTTTTGGTTCAATAATTAGGAGTGTCTTAATCACTTTACGCGCACCTATATTAATTCTCTCTTATATTTGGTCAAAGACATGCCATCCACGTCTGGACTAGGGTATTCATGATGAATAAATATCACATAATATGGTCCCAAAAGTAGTTGTCAAAATTTAAACTCAAGAATTTTTGAATTTACAATTTATTCTTGTTTTCTTGAGATTAATTAGTTCTCTTGATTTGTTACATACTCAAATTTGATCACATTATTATTTGTATAATATTTTTGAGTTCTATGTGAGAAATTTTCATGACATAATTTGGCCACAAAATTTGAAAAGAGTAATAAACTTCAAACTATCACATGTGCTTTGGACTTTGGACCAGCTGATCCAATAGAGTGGGCTCTAAGCTGACTTCACCAAGTTCCTGAACCAATAGCCTAGTTGAGGTGTCCCGTCCCCATGTGTGTAGGATAAGCAACTGAAAACAAAAATAAAGAAGCATAAATCACATAAACACCTTTTGAATTATGACATTTGTTTTAAATTCTGTCTTGAACTTTCAATGAACAATGTTATTAACCCTCAGGTGGTTAAGTGATTGAATTTGGTATTTGGTAACTCAGATATCTCATGTTCAATTCTTTGTCATACCCTCTAAGAGCTAGTCATCAATTTTCCTTTAAGGACATATTTTAACCAAGATTAAGTCATGATGGCCAGCTACTGAGCTCGAAAGAGTAATGGAGGTAAGCTGAACACCTATAAATAAATAAAAAAAAAAAAAAAAAGATAAACATCATTCAAACCCCCTGAGTTTTGTCTTATTAATACAGATACCCCCTTCATATTTTATTAATTATAGTGAGACCCCTATCAAAAATGGAGTTAACAAAAGTTGTGCAATGACAAGAATAATCCTTACTAAATTAGAATATTGTCAGTCAAATCACAATGTTTAAAATGACATAAGTATCATATTTGACTAACAAAACCCTAAAAAAATCGAAACCCTTCTTCTAAAACCCGTCGTTTGCCACAGAGAGAGAGAGAGAGAGAGATTCAACTTCTCTAGCCTAGAGTGAGTTAGATCTGGTACGTAAAACCCCAAATTTAGTGAGAATCATAGATTCAATTCAAACCTCTAGCCCCAACAGATTGAATAAAATCCTAACTTTCCTTTTTAGAATCATCATTGCATGTTTTTGAATCTAACCATGTTCAAAACCCCAATTTGTCCTAAATCTAATCTTGTTCACACCTTTTCAAATATTTTATGTAATCCCAATTATAGGTGTTTGAGCCTTGACAAATGAAAAATTTCCACGAGTGAGAGTAAATTCTTATAGTCATAGGAATTAGAAAATGACACCTACAAGTTAAAACTAACTCATGACTATTGGAGACTGATGGCCGTTGATTCTCTTGTAGTCATTGGTAAGTATTATGCCTTCTATGCAATGTTTTTTTTTGTTCAATGAATTTTTGGTTTGATGTAAAATTGCAGTTGGGTTTTGTTTTTGAAATTTGGGTTGAATTATTCAGGTTCTAAAAAAAATGATGAACTTGAGCATGATATAGTTGTCCATAGTAGTGATACCGTTGTGACGATTTATGGAATAGACCAAGATGAGTACTATCATATGGATTTGGTAGTCGATATTGACAAAGTATTACTTGGTGGTATACAACAAAATTTGGTGATGTATAAAATCACTATAAATAGGTCAAATGACGATGGGAGAATAACAATTGATGATGATAAATGTTTAATTTGTATCGGAGCAGTAGAGATTTGCATATGGTAGGACACATGTTATTTTTGTCTGGAATACAGAATATGAGCATTTTCACTGAAAGAATCCAATTATGTAACACTTTTTTGTCACTGCCCAATTCTATATAAAATATTACACCATTTTGTCATTTGAGTTGAACATGAAATACATAGATACACAATGAAATACAAGCTCTTGCATAATCAAAATATAGGTTCTTACATATCAGGTTCTTGCATAATCAAAATACTAGAATAACATAACTTAAAACTTGTTAATTAACATCATCATAAGGATTATGATAAGGGCAAACATAATAATCAATGCAATGACCAAGATCTTCATCACAATATGGTTGCCAGTTGCCAGTTATCACGACAACCCTTGCATTAGGGACAGAATAGTCTAAGTCTAAACTATCAAATATTGGCCTTATTCCATGAAGCAAAAAATTCACATGAGCCTTTGTCACATGTAAAGTATAATTTTCCTTTGCTTGGTTTTTCTGACTCGACAATCCTGATAATGACTTTCTTTTGACAATTGCATTGTTTTCCAATGAATCTTAAATCAGGCTTCTCATGTCCATCACTTGTACCTTCAACTCTAGTTGTGTTTGAGAATGACTTTTTTTTTTCTAAATTGGCACAAAGTAAAATAATATCAACAAAAATAACGTGCACATTTGTGGATTTCACTAATCCCCTTTCAGTTATGTCAATAAAACACATAATCCCTCTCTGATCTTATATGTTGTCACAAGCAAATCAATAATAGGTAGAGCTTTGGAAATAGTAGGTTCCAAAGTTCTTCGCACAATGGAAATTGTAGTGAGAGTTGTGTTGTGTTTTTAAAGTGTATTGAGGGATATAATAATCTTTTTATTATTTTTTTTGGAGAAACTTTAATATATAATACTTAATCTTACCATTGAGGGCTAATTTTAGAATTACAAGAATTTTTTTAAGGTGATGTCACCCTTTTTCGTTTTAATTACAAACGATCATGGAACGGAAGGGGTGTCCGTGTAACGAGTTTCAAATGTGAAGGGGTCTCACTATAATTAATAATATATGAGGCGGTGTCTGTGTTATTAAGACAAAACTCAAGGGGTCCGAATGATTTTGACCCTAAAAAAGAGTAATAGTATTGAACCTTAAAAAATTGACATAATGACGTGACAGTGATATGGTCTAATATTATTATGACGAGAACTATTAAACTTTTTCATTGAGACTCTATTACTTGTCACATTATTATGCCAACAAATTAAATTAATTTTTTAAATTTTAATAACATTACACACTTTCAATTATCACAGACAAAAATTCCATTAAAATTAGCCATTAGTTTGACTTTTTAATGGTTAATCTTAATAGAATGAAACAATTGAAATAAATTACATAGTTAATAGGCAAATTAAAAAAATTAGAAATTTAAGAAATAATTTAAAATAAAGACCATAATTTAACGAACAATTTATGCGCTTGAGTGCTTAATTTTTGTGTGTTTATGATCAATTTTTGATTTTGTTTTTTAGTTGTACGCTGCGTCGGTATCGCTGGACACCAATAAAGAAACAGCACAAAGAAAGGCAAACGTAACACGCTCTACAAGGTCAATTCAGATAGGTGGGGAATAACCATAGGAATAAACTCAGAGACTAAGGGCATCTTTACCGGTACTCTTCATAATAATTATTTAAAATATTATATTTTTATTTAAAAAAATTATTTTTATAAAATTATTCCAAGTTCTTTATTTTAATTAATTATTATTAATATTTTAAGTCAAAATATTTTATAACTTGACACATCATCAAAATGTAAAACAACTATCCCTTTGAAATACAAAAAAAATTATTTGACCCTCTAAATATAAAATAGCTAGTCATGGAGACTATTCAGATTATCATTTAGTTCAACTATAAAATAACTAGTCTATTAAAATAACATATGTCAAATAGCTAGTCGGTCAGAGGTGTTCTACCGACCGAATCAGGTGGGGGAGAGAGAGAGAGAGAGAGAGAGAGAGAGAACAATTTACACACGGCGCACGCCAACGTCCCCCAGTAGCCATGACCATTTATTCTTGGACTAGTTTAACAAACCCCAACCCCTTTTTAATAACCACAAACACAACCACAGCCACAACCACCACTAACCGTTTCGGCCATAAACGCTTCTGTCTCCGAGGTCCCTCTTATTCTCGAGCCGTACCTCCGATTCGGTTCTCAGTTCTCTGCGTCTCCTCTCTCTCAGGTAAATCCTCTCTCTCTCTCTCACTCACAGACGTACGTGTATGTATAGGTGTATATTGAGAATAATGGCGATGAATCTTGATGAGAAGCGGAAATGTTACTGTGCATAAGGTCGTTTTGAATGATACGTTCGGTATAGCTCTGATCGCAATATGATGAAATGATCTCTTAATGTGTGGTAGATTGAGTCATATATGAATTTCCAGATTTAGTCATAAATGCATTGTTTGTGTATCTATCATTGGCTTCGTCGGAGACAGTGTTCTGCTGGATCATGAGTTTTACATTCTCTTGGAGAGCATTGTAACAGAGCAGCAACATTAAGATTTCTTATCTGTGTGTATGCGTGTGTATATATATGTTGTGTGTGGATCTAACTTCGTCTCATTAGGTATCTATATTTGATTATTTTAATTCTGGAGCTTTTACATAGTGTAGAGTTTGGAGGTATGAGAATGGATCTAGGACATTAATGCGTTATTACCATTGTAAGTAGTTGTAAAAGGTATTAATATGATTATGTAAAAAAGATAATTTCAGGGAAAAAGCATATCAATGTGGCAAAGCATTTGGTATAAGTGCAGCTTGCTGCAAATATTATGTGGAATTAAGATTACCATCTGATTTTTCAAACCTTTGGAAAGCTACCTGTATAAATCATCCTTGTACACTTTATTCTGTTCTACTTTTTCTTCATAAAATTGTTCGTAGGTTCTTAGAATAAATTTCTCTCTATCTCCACGCAAAATTTGTGATCACTTTTTCACTTGGCATTTTTGAGAGCTGCTCTATTGATTGTCCTCTTAAGTAATCAGTACATCAATTTATATTCACTTGCAGATATGGATGCCGCTGCAGGTCAAAGTTTGTATCCCTTGCACCGGTGTAAAACTATTCACCTGGTTTGTGCCACTTTTGTTCCTTTTTTGGCCCTGTTTCAATTATATTAAAAAAATTCATGGCCTGAGGATTTAAAGCTGCATGATATTTGATATGGATGTTTTTTCTTGGTTTTCCATGTTCACCATAAAAGTGTTTTGGTCATGACTGATTTTATTTTTATGCAGGTGAGGCATGCTCAAGGGGTTCACAATGTAGAAGGAGAAAAGGACCATAATGCATACTTATCACCTGAACTTTTTGATGCACACCTAACACCTCTTGGCTGGCAGCAGGTAACAGCCAGTGAAAATGGTTTTTTGGGTCATGAGTCATTATGGTTTGACTGTCAGTTTGTTAATTGTTGTAATCATGCACAGTGAAAAAAAATTCTTTCAGCAGCCAGGTTATATCTACCTAACCTAAGCATAGAAATACAGTGGTTGTAATTAGTAATGTTGGGTCTTTCAGTGAAGAAGCCATCTTGATAAAAAGTTGAAGCACTCCTCTACCTGTTCATTTCTTATTCCAGCGTTTTTATGACTATTTTTGTTTTATAAAAAAATGTGTTTCATAATAACTTAAAGGTATTGTGACAGGTAGACAATTTGCGCAAGCATGTTCATGCATCTGGACTTTCCAAGAAGATTGAATTAGTCATCACTTCCCCTTTGTTGAGGTATCAATTTCTAATCCTTGTTAAAGACGTTATGCAAATCATCTCCTGAAGTTTTTTTGTAGCTTTTACTTATCCAGATAAAAGTAAAGTTTTCTCTGTTGTTTGGTGGCTGGCAAATTTTCTATTTGTTTTTCAGTGGATTCGAGGATGACACACTGGTTGTGCATATGTTTCAAACTTGTGATTCTTTTCCAGTTGTCTATAAATTCAAATGAAGTTAGTCTAATCCGTGCATTGTTTTATTCTGCATATTTTTCTTTGATATTCAATTATTTGATAAGAGAATGAATCTTCTTTGCTTAATTGGTTCTATCTTAGATATAATTCTGATGAAGGATTAGCCTTTTCAATATTTTCATTCCCTATTATTGAAGTAGGTCAGTATCCCATTTGATGAATTGTAATTAGTCGGAATGCTTAGTATGGGAAGACAAAATTCAAATATATTTTACTGTTTTCCTTTTCTTTCTCTTCTTGAACATCTAAGCATTCTATTGTAATTTGTAATGATTACGTTTTAGGACCATGCAAACTGCAGTTGGAGCTTTTGGGGGTGAAGGTTACAGTGATGGGATTGATGTACCTCCACTAATGGTGGCAAAAGCAGGGAATAGTAGCCGTCCAGCAATTTCAAGTCTAAATTGCCCTCCATTCGTTGCGGTGGAGCTTTGTCGAGAGCATTTGGTATGTGGATTCTAACAAAAGATTGATGCACTCTTATAAAGATTAGGCTTCTTTAATCTTCTTTCCCTTCCAAAATTTCGTGCAGTTGTATGCTTCAACCTGGAATGAGCCTAATCCTCACCACATAGCTAAGTACAAGAATGTTAGGTTAAGCAAATCATGGAACTTCAGAAAAAAGAAAAGAAAAGGAATGAGACAATAAAATAAAGCAGATGTAAGCTAACTGAATAACAGAACTCTTGATATTTTGTTAGACTTTTCCTTTGATCATGGGAAAACAGTGTTCAAACATCAATTTTTTTTGGTTCATATGTGCCATTTCTTTCCCTTGCTTGTTGTGGAATTGGTGTATTGATTATGCACATGGATGGATACTCTCTTCTGGTCTATGTATTCATATCCGTTTTGCCTTCCATCAGATAATAACACTTTGCTCAGCTTTTTTATTAATTTTCTCTATTTGTGGTGATGTCTGAATCCATGAGTCACTTGTGCCATTTATGCAGGGTGTTCATTGGTGTGATAAGAGGAGAAGCATTAGCGAGTATAAGCTTCTTTTTCCTGAAATTGATTTTTCACTGGCAAGTACTTTTTCATAATCATTAGAAACTGGAAAACTTTTCTTCTACTTGATTATTAGCTTTTGTCTGTGTCAATCAGGTTTTGAATAGGTTGGGGGAAAACATTTGTCTAAATAATATTTGATTTTTCAGATAGAAAGTGATGCTGACGTTCTGTGGAAGACTGACATCAGAGAGACAAATGAAGACCTTGCTGCCCGAGGAATGAAGTTTATGAACTGGTATGTTTCTGTTTGAAAAATTTAGTGTTGGAAGGTCGAATTGTTCATCAACCTTGAAGAAGATAGAGTAGTTAAAAGACCTTTTTCAAGTTAACTTAGGACGAAGTTAAAATATGTTTTTTGGGTTTCAAAAATGATTTCTCCTTGTTGTCTTATTCTGTTTTGTATATATTTTGCATTCCCTTATATGAGATTTGTTTAGACCTCTAGTAGAAATTAATGAGTAGATAATGGCAGGTAGTACCATGACAAGCTTCTTGGCAACTACTACTATCCTCTTTCTTCTTCCTTTTTTTTTTTTTTTTGTAATTTTTCTTGTAATTTGTCCCAGGTTGTGGACGCGGAAAGAGAAGGAGATTGCAGTTGTTACCCACAGTGGATTCTTAATTCATACCTTAAGTGCATTTGGAAATGATTGTCATCCATCAGTGAAAAGTGCAATATGCAAACCGTATGTATTATATTGGTTTCTTGAGTTTTAATTGCTAGTGAGAAGTTAAATTTTGCTGCTACCTCATATACAACAATGTAATGGGCTATACCAAAACATACGACACTGAAGGCGACTGCCTTAGACCATCGCCCTTCTTGACTGATCATTGATGACATTTGCAATCTTTTTTTGCAGCTTTAACAATTGTGAACTTCGATCTGTGGTGATTGTTGACAGAAGGTAAGTCATTTGCAGTATCTGGAGAATGTGCTCCTTGGTTTTTCCGAAGTATCATGTTCTGATTCTTCATTCTGCAGTTTGATAGGGTCAGATTCCTCAACAACAGACTATCCTGGAAAAATTCCTAGCGGGTCTGATGTCCCAAGTGACGTTGCAAAGTAGAAGCACAGCCGGGGGGGGGGGGGGGGGGGGGGGGGGAGTGTCCCGGCCATCAGGCTCGAGTAGAAACTAGAAATTGGCCACAGAAATGTAGAATCGAGGTGAGAAAGCAAATAAATATATAATTCATCAAGTTCTTTCCCAAATTTCCTTTCTGATAAGTAGCACCAATCCAAAAAGACGGCAAGAAGAAAGAGATAATCCACCAACCTTCATAATTTAGGGCAACATATCAAGCACACGAGGCCAGTTATTTCCTTACTGCTACTGTGTAGTTTTTATTCTCGATAACACGAAAAGCATATTTATAATCCAGGAAGATGGAAGGGAATTACTCTATTGTCGAAGATCAAGCAATGCTGAGACATAAAAATTTGACCTAATTTATTGATATAATATAATTTCATTGTAATCATTGGATTAAAGTCAATTTTCAATGTTAGATGAGATCCACAATCAATTTAACAATTATGATATATTAAATCAATAAATTAAGTTTCAACAGTGATGCTCAAAGTTTCAACCCCAAATGGAGCAAAAGAAGTTCCTTTCTTGGCAGTAGCATTAACTGTATTGTAAGTGTCAAAAAATTGTTGATACATCTCACAAGAAATTTGATCTGATCTTTTTGGAAAGAAATGTTTCTGAACTATCTTCCGATCTTCTCTCTGCAAAACGAACAAACTGTCCAAAACTGAAGTGCTTCAATCGAAGACACTTCGATGCTTAAGTCAGTAATAGTGTTTAAAGCAATTGCTAGAAGAAAATGAGAGTTCAACGTACCTTTCACCTTGGTTTTCTTTGTTTTTTATAGATGATCATCCCATTAAGGTTTCAGTGATTTTTGATTTAAGGTGACACATCTTCCTTTAATTCAACAATTCAGTTTGGGAAGATGTTGATATTTCTCTAACAATTCCTCCTGACATCTACAATTTCGTTGATTCGTTCATTTAAAATGTCTATGTTAAATACTTATCTTTATCTTTCTATCTTCTGTTTCAAACAGTTCGGTCATAATGAGATCCGAGTACTTTTGATGCTTGTCGAACATATTGATATGTTTGGTTTAATAAAAGCCAAGCTCTTTTATCACTTTGTCGATTATATTGGTCAGTTCGGTTAGACCCATTTGCCCGAGTAACTGATGTCCTCGTTACGTGCCTCGTTTATCAATTTCGCATGAACTCATTTAATACCACAACACGTATAGTAGTGAAAGCAAACCCCTTCATGCATAATAGTTTTTATAGGGTGTGTTTGGGTAATGAATTAGAATAGATTACTAATGTTGTGGGTTCCATACATCTGGTGTTTGGCGAATAAAAATTGAGCCAAGATATAATATTGGATCAAACCTTAACCCGAATGCTATTGTAATTTTTACCTAAGTTACACGAGTTAACTGTTACCCCTCTTTTTTGTTGATAACGTTACTACACACCTTACCCAAGGAACCCGATCGTCACTTTTGTCAAACAACTCGTCAAAACAGACGAATTGCTGGTTGGTGAAGACGTTCACAGGCGACGATCGACTGACTCGAGGTAAGCCTCTCTCTCTCTCTCTCCCTCCTTGTGTGGAGCGAACGACGAGCAGATCTGGTTGATGAGGTACACCCAGATCTGCATCGTCCCATCCTGTCTTTGTAGAACTTCTGCCTTCGTTCGTCTTTGGTGAGTTCCGAAGCTATAAAAATGGACTCTAGGAAATGCTTTGGAGTGTAGGAAATATTTAGATGTTAACAGATCTGCGACGAACAGAGGGTGATAGAAACAGACCTGCTAGTACCCAGTTCACATTTGGTAGAGGCTTAGGAACAGATGTTTAATTTTTGAACCGGGTACCCAGGTGAACTGTTACTAAAAATCTCCACTACCCATTTCACATTTGGAAAAGGTTACGAGTTTGTTTGATTTTATTTGAGAGTTTAGATGGTTTAGATGTTTCTCATTTTCTGCTCTTGCATTGAGTTAGAACCTTTGTAGTGGGGATTCATCTGGTTAGATGGACTTTCATATGCTCCATTAGTGCTAAAAACACCACAACAAGAGTTTTTTGCAGGCTTTGAGTAGTTTATTCTAGTTTTTAGATAGATTGTGGGTCACTTTGTTCTATATGTGTGAATGTATTTTACATAAAAAGGTTTTATTTGTACTGCATGTATGTGGTAGCAATAGGGATTTTTTTTGGACAAACTTTGTTATTGGAAATTTATAACATGGTCAGTTTCAAGTGGAAAAGAGGAGCTTACTTGAGTGTTACATCATTTTATCTGATTTCCAAACGTTGAGTTCTATAAATGATATCTGCTAGTTCATTAGCTTCTCTTGATCAAGATAGAAACTAATGCTCTTTTGTATTTTGCAGGCCCGAGTCATTGGGAATTGTTGTTGGGATTGTCTTTTTCGTCTTGGCAATTTTGTTTCAGTATTTTAACTTCATATCAGATTCAATTGTAAGTATATTATATTCCAATATTGTGGCTTCTTTTCTTTTTTCTTAATCTTCCTTTTGTTTTTAAGTCTGCTAATTTTTTATCATCAATGATTCCATAAATATTTGCATCATGTGTGATAAACAATTGTGAGTATGCTTACTATTATATTGCACACTAAATTGCTCGGTATGGTTCCGTGCTATGAATTTTATATTGCAATGTTTGCTATGAATTCGATAAAGATATTCGTGTGTTTGATCACTCTAGTATTGTTGTATGTTTTTAATGTAGATTTATGTATTATGTTGGATTTGTGGGTTTAATTATGTTGCGTGTGGCGTTCGTTTGCCTTGTTCTTAATTTGTGCTGAAGGTGGTATTTGATTGAATCTGATTCTCAAGTATTAATTCAAATGGTTTTGGGGAAGACAGTGATGCTATTTTGTAATTTTTTCAGTTCATTTTTTGGTGTTTATTTGTTTTGTTTAACGTGTTTATCAAGTCCAGGTAGCAATTCGTATCATACCCAGGTGCTTGGGCAGACAATCTTGAGTGCTTGCAGTTTCTGATGATTTGCAGAAGGGCTGCAGTACTGTTGTTTCTGAGGTCAGTTGCTGGGGTGTGGTGGATTGCTATGGGTTTTGGAATGGTTCACTTTGTGGACTAATTTGCCTCTGTGAGGACAAAAATTTGCTAATTCAGTGGTTTTTACTGCTGTTCTAGGTTATGTTTGGGGGTGGAAGTAGGCTCATGAGCTGAATTGTGAGCAAAAGAGTAGTTGTGCTGTGTGAGGTACTTTTAGCAAGTGGGACTATCAGGTCCATTTTGGTTCATGTAGGTAGTCTGGCGAGCTGATCTGAATAGATATGGGACTGTCTCTTGCAGGATGCCTGCTTGACTGTGCTGGAGCTGGTTCTATGCAGCTGTATGGATCAGAAGGAGCTGCTACAGTCATTGTACAGGAATTTTCTGTTTATAGCAGTTTTGATTCTTGTATAAACAGTTTTTACTGTTTTTTCTGTTTAAACAGGAGCTGTTCTTTCTTAGAACAGTGCTGAATTTGATACTGACAGACAATAAAAAAATGGAAGGAATCAAAACTAGTGAATCAAGTTGGGGAAAAAATCAGAAGAACCTGCTAAAGCTAGCTAGGGGAAAAAATCAGATTGGCTGAAATAAAGTATTGATTTGTTTGAAAAAAAATATTATGCTATTATGTATTGACTACTCTATGGAGTTGCGTTTGCCTTGTGAGGTTGCTGCTGCTTTGGGGAATACTCGATCTGTTGCTGCTGCTTTAGTGTTTTGCTGAAAATTTTGAAGATGGAAAGATAGCTAGAATGGAGCTTATGGACTGAGGAGGTGTTTTCCTTATTATTTGGTTTTGCTGTAGTTTTTGGACATTTTACTTGATAAAGCAACTGTGCCTTATTTTTTGTTTGGTTTTATAAGGCCTTGTTTGCTTCTTGTAATAATTCTATTTTTTGTAAATAAATAAATATTTTTCTGTTAAAAAAAAAGATTTGTTTGGAAAAAAGAAATACCAAAATATATATCTATATTTAACTTTCTTTATTTTTATATATTTTTATGTATATGTAAAAAATGTATAATTTTATTAGGCTTGGATGGGTTAACCAAACATAGGATAGGATTGATTTGAATTGGAATAGATAAAATTATGAGTAGAATGATAAACTAACACAAATTATTTGTGTAATTTATAACACCCATTGAATTATACATTTGTTTCTCAAACAAAACTTAGGATTGGATATAACCTGGGTTAGGGGTTTAAAGTGGATGAGTGGAATTGACTTGGATGGGTTAAGATATAAAAAAAGAAATCCTATCCTATCCTACCCCATTACCCAAACACACCTATAACTTACAGAATGTGTCAACAGTCAACATATCCCCTTCACAAATTTCGAGGACTTGCAACATCAATATATAATAAAAATTAAAAAAATCATTCAGAAAATCATAAAAGACTTGAAGAAGTGCCCAAAGAGACCGGAACGGGATTCTTGGGTGAAGTTCACTTGTAAACTATGAGGGCCTGAAAACAAAAAGCACCAATCCCACTAAAACTGAGAGGATTAGACCCAGAACAGCAGCCCAGATGTTAAAACCGACTGACTTATCAGATTCACTGTGACTTCCTCGGCATGTATCATCTCTGCTATTCTTTAAGGATGAACAGTCTGGAACAGATGCTGAAGAAAAGGGAACTGCCATTTCCCAAAAGGATTTGGTGGCCAAAGTAGTCGAAGTGGGCGCTTCTGTTTCTGGCTCCAAGATTGTTGATTCATCGATTGAAGCTTCCATTGACATCAACTCAACACAATTGTCTTTAAGAACCTAATTAGATAAACAAACAAAGTTAGAGCGAAAACGGAAAACTACAATACATTTCAAGGATGGGTGAGGAACTTATATTTCATCCACCCAAAAAGATTTTCAATATTTGTATAAAAAATGAAATTCCTCTACAACTTCACATTATTTGAAAAAGTGCTAAGTTACATTGCCCCAATGTTGACATTAGAGAGATTCGTCCAAGCCATATAAGTGCTAATAGTTATCATCTGAAAGCTGTTCAATTCAGGTACTCAAAACTGATCAATCATACAGTTCTGCTCACAAAGAGTCTGCTTAGCAGGTGCCGAGCAAGGCCCTAAACTAATAGAACTCTACTCACTTTTTCTTAGATACGAAGAGTTCTACCCACTATAATCTGAGTAAAAGTTGCCACTCGTTTTAGACCCAGGAACTAGGGATATATATAGAAAATATTCATTAACAAAAACAATCCCATTTTGCCTAATATATTATCAACCAAAGGGACACACTATTCTGCTCCATACAGAACATCCAATACTCCACTCGCCAAATCAAAGAATGAAAATACCCCCAATCAAGACCACAAGGCCAATAGCAGTTTGTCCAGCCAGATAGTTCTGAGGACAGCTTTGGACTGATACACGTTGGGAAGACAAGTATAACTAAACTCTCGAGGGGAAGTGAATCAACCCTGCAACCACATGCGTTATATTTACTGTTCTTTGAGCATCAGCACATTACAAGGTATTATAAGCAAGACCAATGCTGACACAATACCATGATTCTCTCAAACACCAAAGAAAGAAAAACAAAATAGAGAGATTGTTAACCAAAGCACAGGTACAATCTAGGTCTCTTTCCTGTAATTTCAGGGCCCTCTGAATCTTTGTTGCATTAAAGCTACTCTCATTTATTTTCTCATACGCAACAGATCCATTATCAGTTCCCTCATATCTCCTTGCAATCATACTGGGATAAAAAAATTAGAAAATTAGCGGATCTGAATTTCCCTATGCAATTAAAAGATATTTATGTAATTGCAGAGTGGTCCTCCTTGTGACATGATGGGTTTGGGTATGATTCCCAAACCCCCAGGTCAGATCAGGGGTTTAACACTTGCTAGACAGGAAAAAAAAAAAAAGATAATAGCAATGTGGAAACACCAAAAGATTATGGCCTAAGAGGACAGCTCAGTTGACAGGATGTGGTTTGACAAAAAAAAGAAAGATAGGTCATCTTTCTGAGTTGAAATTTGAAGCTAATACGAAGAATCTTCAATTCAGTTTTACCCACCCTGAGCATTAAATTATTCAGTTTAATAATTGTAATGAGGATAAATTATGGTCCATTATACAAAAAAGAAATCTCAGAAGCTAGAAGCTGAATTTAAGGAGAGATGAAGAGAGGGAAACAAGTCAAACAGACATGATAAACATCAATAATATACTTCTTAATACATTTGCATTTGGCATGCCACATAAGAATAAGGATTTAAATTTTAAATTTTCTCTATCTCAAGGGCAACTATTCATTTTCATTAACTAGTATTTGATAGAGTCCAGAAGAAAACATGGCATGCACTAGGCAGATGATCTTGACCTTCCAGAAAAAGAAAACGAAAACATAGGATTCTTTGTTCATCAAAGATATGAGCACAGACCTCAAGTGTTTCAGATGGTTGCAAATAGTCACATATATAGGTACCCGCAAGCCAAGGGACAAAGACTCTCCGAGGAAAGCTGAGGCTGCATGTTTTTCTGTTTGCAAATACATAAATAAATTATCCAGTCAGTTCAGAAATTCACTACAACATTTCTGCAGCAGAAACCTGGAAATATATTTATAAATTATGGATTAATCAGTTAGCAATCTACAAAAGTGTAATTTGCTACCTCATGTTACTTATGTTATGTTGCTTGCAAATATATTTTACTCGTGAGTTAATAAGAAAATTAAGAAGCAAATAGAGATCACAGACATTCCATCACAATAAGATATCAACGGCACATTTAGTTATTTTGATAGTTAAAAGAAGAAATGATCAATTAACAACTAGCTCCCGCTCCTCACTAGAAAAAATCAATAACCCGGGTATGGTGACGTGATGCAATGCTATCAAAAGTTTTGTGGCTGCATAGATATTAAAACATACAATTCTTGCCATCTTCAACAAATTGTCATTTACTAAAGAAGTGATGCAATAACAACACTGGACAAGATCTCCTTGTTGTTTATGTCTACAGCGGAACATTGCAGCACATATACTATGGCCACGGTACCTCAACAACTGCAGGTCCATCTGGAGAATGGGCTTCTCTGTTGATGCGTCAGGACTTGCCCCCTCACCATCATTACCATATGACTCTATTTCTCTTTCTGCTTCATCATGGAGAATATCTAATCTACATTGCAGACTCATGATTATGTCTCCCTACACAATAAAATTCATGATTACACCGAGAAGAGGATTAACAATGAGTGACCCAAGAGAACCAAAGGTGCAAACTTCTATGAATTTCTTGGAAAGCAATACCATTTGATAGTAACAAATCAATAAAGTTCCTACCAGAATAAATAACAATCATTGTAATTCACTACAGCCACTGTGGCCATGCATTATAAAGGTGCATGTACTGCAAGGTGGAATCAAAATTTCACCATAATGTCATATTGTATCCACAGTTGAGGATCTTATTCATACGCGAGACTATATAAACATCAGCCAGCCATCAGCACTGGTAACCTCCTTAAAATGTGCAAAATACTTCACAACTAAATACATAAGCAGAAGCAAGAAATTCAATCAAAATAAAGATGTTGCCAGAACTATCAATTAATTGAGTACCTTCATATCAGCCAAAGCTTGTGAAATTGATTCTTTCGAATTTAAGTATGCAAAAGAGCAGACAGAACCCCTAAAGACAAGAACACCAATAACATCCTTCCGGCTGCATGCTTCACAGCAAATATATAAGTAAATAAGCATATAATGTTAAAACCAGAAAATCAAATAATATCTAAAGCACAGCAAAGAACAGCCTAAACTCCTACTCAAGGACGAAGAATAAATTCCAAATTTACATTTGGCAACTAGCAACACACCTTCTAGAGATGTATCTTGCATGAAAGGTAGAAGAAATTCAACTTCATGTAAACCATCTGATGCACACTGCTCATCCTGTGTCACCTAAAAATACATGAAAGACTAAACATCCTCAGGCAAAGCTAAAATTGGAGATAGTCTAACCAACAAGTCATGCATATACGGTGTGAAATTTGCATGAAAGGTAGAAGAAATTCAACTTCATGTAAACCACCTGATGCACACTGCTCATCCTCTGTCACCTAAAAATACATGGAAGACTAAACATCCTCTGGCAAAGCTAAAATTGGAAATAGTCTACCCAACAAATCATGCATATACGGTGTGAAATTTGACTATTTAACTATTTTGCAGGCTAACAGGCATTGGTACCAGAAAGAAAGAAAAGTTGACACTACAGTGGCATTTCAGTCTCAGGTTCTGTCTACATTCTATATGCACGATATTGTTATTTTGTCGTGAGGATTTATGTATTTTATCTGATCAGAGCAGAGAAAATGTAGGAAGAATGAAACTATTAGTAATATAACATGAATTTCATTGAATTTCAAAACTAATGGACTATACTATAGCAATCAATAATAACCCATTTCTCATAGAAAAAGTATAGCAACCATTCTCTCACCTGTCGAACCCTATTAATTAATAAAAAATTTGTGTCATTTACATTTTTCCAATAAACTTTAAACAAAATTTGCAAATAATTAATATTAACAATTAAACATTTCTCCATGTAATAGTATTGTCATATATCAAATTTAACAAGCTTTCAAAAGAGTGCCTGATAAACGTAATTAAGATTTTATTTTCTATCATGGAAAGGCAAAAGAGTATTAAACACATGTTTGTGAGTTACCGAAGAATATTGGACATGCCACCTTCTTTAGAGGCGTCCTTGCTTCTTAGCTTTTTCCACCAACACATTCATCAAGGCATCTACCTCATTTCTAATATGTCACATAAAGAGCCAGCAGCTTGCAAGACCCACATGTAGATGTGGCCAAAATTGCAATAATTTAACTAATTGTATACTCCAAAATCTACATAGATAGACATGATTTCAAGCATGTCCCAACTCAGGGTCGGAAAGTATGAAAGGCTATGTGAGATCCGAAATAGTACATTCAAAAATAAGAGCCATCAGGGTTTATCACAAATCTGCTCAGAACAAATATTGACCATTCCAATAGACAGGATATCACAGAGTATCCTTACTCTAGGTGATCCTTTAAAATCTATCTGCAATTGGCAATCCATTATAATTAAGTAACAACTGATAATTTGTAAGCACCTCAGATTGAAAATTTTTACGTAATCATATTCTTGCAAACCTGCATAGTTAATGTGGAACATCTCTGATGCATACAAAATTACACGATGACGAATATAAAATGATAAGCAGTATCTTATCCAAATGGCAACAATGTATAACTTTAAAATGGCCATGCATATTAAGTTATCTAATTTATCACTGGATGTCCAATAATGTAAATAAAAATGCAAAATGCCCTCAAAGTGGTATGCAAAAATGCTTCTTACCAACTTTCCATCGATCAAAGCCTTTGCACTTTCAAGCTCTTTGGCATGACTTGAAATTCCAAAACGAAGAATATCAGCCAATTTTCTGACATTGGATACATTCTCATGGATTATGGGCAATCTGGAGAGAGACAGTTTCATCAATGAGACACAAGACCATATATCTTGCTGAAAAATGAAAGCTACACAAAGAAATAGCTGTACGTATAGTGAACTTCTATTATACATGTGGCCACAACTTGTCAAGCATTTTTTTTTTTGCCTAACAGCCAAGTTGCCAAGTTCTACAATGCAAGTAAAAAAAAAAATGTGCTCATTAACAACCAGCTGCTTTGAAGTTTGAACATTACACAAGGTTTTATTTAATAATCAATAATACTATGGGAGGGAAGCTGTCATCCAGCTTCAAAATCTGATACGTGTAATTTGAAGATAAATTCAGGAAACAAAAGCATTTCAGCTTCTACTTTGTAAAACTGTTGCTGATTATCTGCACCATAAACTATGGAGAAAGTCCTTATCTACTAAATTCTTATCATTCAGATACTTGGCAATTTCAGTTTCTCTTCTTCGCACAAGTTGGATATAACTCTTTATGAGGAACAATATCATAATTATACTCCAGAGCCTTGCAACACCAAAGCACTTCTGCTTGTAAAGTTTAAGATATGAGAGAGAATCAAGCACACAAAAAAACATTACCTTAGATCAAACTTGTATGTGCATCGAAATGTTTGAAGGGACGTTAAAACTCTTCCCATTTTAAAATCACAAGGACGTAGGCTACTTGATGTAATATTTGAAGCCAGCGTGCAATTTCGACATGTCCATCTACACAAAAACAACTTTTAGCCACTGCCAATAAAAAGGAATGAATTAAATTGTTTGACAGGGATAATGAACTTGGATGAAGTTACCTTCTTGGGCTATAACTAATGTGAATAAGAAGTCCCTCATCCCAATCGTTCTTCACCACAGATGCCACTTCTGCAACACCCTTTACAGTCTGCAAGTGCCAAACCAGGAATAACAAATCTGATCAGTAGTTAGAAACCTACAGAAGTTCTACCCAAGTCAAAAGAGACCATAACTGCAAGTTCCCATAAACTACTAATTACCGCAGAAGTATTACAATAAAAACAAAAAATAACGGACATTGTGCAATAGAAACAATATCTATTATCGGCTGCATGCACACGGCTTCCCATTTGTTAGGACGATAAATTGACGACTATTACACAAGCTACATGATGTTGAGACAAGTCAGAACTGGACTGCCACAATCAGACAATAAGACAGATTCGATTCTTCTATTTTCAATAGAAGCAAAGAACCTTTAAATAACAATCAAATAAGAAAGTGGAATGAGACTATCATATCACCTGGCAAAGCGTTATGGTAGAATTCTTGAAAGAGCTCTCACTGGCCCATATATAGATGCCAACCACTTGCATGCCACCCAATAGCATTCTCGAGACCTGTCACAGTAATCAATGATAATCAACTGAAACGTAAAAAGATGCAGGTCTGACTAATATAAGTACCTGACGAGCGTGTTCGGCAACCCAATCTTGGTCGATAAACAGAGACGAAGATTCGGACAGAGATTTGGATTTCGATCCTTTTTTCTTGTCATCTCTGACACTCTCAATGACCGAACAAGCCGATTTTCCGTCGTCGTTTGGAGGTGTGGGAATCAAATCGAAGACGAACCCTCGTTCTAGACTCGAACTCAGCTTCCCAATCACAAGCCCTACCTGTCATAATCAAAATCAAAACCACTAACCCTCGCTTCAGAAATTCTTAAGAGTGTGTGCGTGTGTAAGAGAGAGAGAGAGAGACCTGAGAGGGGAGTGCGGATTGGGTGAGGCGATCTTCGGCCAATTTAAGCTGAGTTTCTTCTCCAACCACGACTTTCACCATGATTTAGGGTTCTGTGTCTTCCAATGTCAGTCGGAGTCGGTACAGTTTCGAATTCGATTAATCGTTCTAACAAAACGGAAGAAGAGTTCCTCGTCTGAGTTTTTAAGCCCTTAGCCCAATTCCTATGTTTGCATAGCCCTTCTAAGCCCATTTAAATCTGACCTCAGTTGGAATTATTTTGCCCAAGACCCAATCAGGTTTATAGGCCCAAGAACATTTAAATCTGACCTCAATCAAATTTTTTTAGCCCAAGGCCCTGTCAAGGGGACGGAAAAGAAGACAGGGAGGAGACCGGACAGGACAATCAAGCTTTCATTGACCAACGATGACAGTCAAATGGAGCTTGATTATCGAGAGTTATGAAAAGTCTATCGGACCTAAACTGGCTCTTTTCTTGACTAAAGGGTAGTTGCAGTTTATACGATTCATTAATTCTCTCCAGGAAAAAATATTCGGTGTTTATCAGATATCAGATTATTAATAACAACTGCTACTCATTATCAATCGATGGATGTCACCTCAAAATAGATAGTGAAGAGAGAAAAATTGAAGGACAACCTATACTGAGGTGATATCTCTTGATTGGTAATAAGTATCAGCTGTGAATGACAGTCTGATACCTGTTAATGACAGAATATGAAGTGACATCCATTGATTGGTGATGAATATCAATTGTCATTGACAATGTGATACCTGATAAACACCGAATATTTTCTCTTGCCGCAGCCGCCTCTGCCTGCCACTTTCGGGTTTCCAGTATTCTGATTGGTCAGGTGTTTTTGGGGCAAAAATGATTGCTCTTGGTTGGGTGATCAAAATTTGGTAAACACCCCCAAGATTAGCAAAAAACTAAAAGTTGGCGCAAACTGTGTGAATAATGCATTCATTTTCTGTTAAAAAAAAATAATTATTTTTTTACCATTTAATATTCTCTTGTTAGCTGGACGAAAATCGCAACATGTGAATTTATAAATTTTGTTTTTATATAATTTAATTATTTTTTTGTCAATAAATGTGAATTTAAAGTAAAATTCACCGAAAAAATTATTTTTTTGATCAGTCTATTTTCTATTACAATCAAATTAGTGCTATTCTATACAGTATGTTTTACCTTCAAGTTATTTGTGCAATACCATTCTTTTTCTTTGGAAAAAATACATTAAAAATATAATTTTAAATTAATCTATATATTTTATTTATTGATATTAAAATTAATTTCACTCTCTAGTCAATTACAATTAACTTACATAAATTTAAAATGAAAAAATATGCAACAAAAAAGGTTCGTTGTCGCACTGTTATATACAAATTTGTCAGATTTTTTGTATAATTTTTGGAAGTCAATTACATTTTCGGAGTTTTTACGATTAATCCTAAATATTTATGTTCGATCCTAATAATTTTATAATAAGATAAGTTACAAACTCGTAACAAGTTATACTTGGTCCCCCAAAAAGTTAGTTATAAGAGAACTCCAAAAATTATAATTTCTTTAGGATTGATCCTAATTTTTTTATTTATAGGTAAGCCTCAAAAACTTATATGACGAACTACAAAAATTATAAATTTCGCCCTAGTCAAATGACACAAAAAGTATGTTAAATAGTGAAGTTTTGTTTGAGGCTTCTAGCAAGGAAAGAAATGCCTACTTCCATTGTATTATTGCATACAAATGTGTAACAAATGACGACAATCCATTATTGAGGAAATATAAAAGTAACACAAATCAGAAATAAGAATGAGCTCTCTTGAAGAAAATTTTAGATTCAAGTGATAAATGATTCGTGTGACTAAATACTTAGTCAACCAATCTCATGATGAAAATCTCAAATGTTATTCAAAAATTTCATCCAGACTTAATAGATAATTTATGCAATGATCAACTAAATCAACCATCCTTGTAAAAAAAAAAATTTGACGTGGCAAAAAAACATAGTAACCACCCTCTTGCCAATTTTTTTTTCTTATACAAAAGGTCTAAATTTGTGTCGACTACACAATAAAGCTCGAATAATAGTCAAATTTGAAACCTTATGAGCCATAAGTATGCCATCGAATGCGTTTGACGCATGTATCAATAGAAACACTTCACCAATAAAAATATTTTCAGCACAATATATACACAATGTCACATCAAATGAAAATCAGAATGATCAATCGAATTACAACAATGATGACAATAAAATGAATATTTGTAAAGAGATTTAAAAACAAATGTATACTGTAAAATAAATCACTTAAATAAATTTTTGTCCAAACAAAGACTATGACCATCATTCTCAATTAATTTCAACTTCGCATATGTTGCTGTTTTTTTTTTCAATCCTCGAACCGCGTTGAAAGGTCTATGTCACCTTCTTAAGTTGGCTTCCCCTCTGTGTCAAATAAAACACCTAACTTCTTTATATTCTTTGTGAGATTATGTTTTACTTGTTGAGATTAAACAATTGTTCTTTTTTTCTTGGTGAATCCAAAAATAAAAACTGACAAGGTTGAATTTCGTTCGATTGAACTTTTGTAGTTGAATAAATTAGTTTTGTTAGGACACATCATTTCAACCATATTCATGACAACGATTGCATTTGAATGATAGTTGTTTACGCTTGAACTGGAGTTTTGTTGACAAGGTTTATTAGTTCTACTATTGACTTCAATAATAATGAACAGTAAAATATAGAGTAATTGTACATGAAATTAAAAAATAAACTTATAGTTACAACTAATGATTTTACTATGATTCCACTATTTATTGAGATTCTCTACTTATTCAATAATTGTGATTATTAAATCTATTTTTTAAATACATATAACATTAATTGTAAAACATATTATCTCTCTTAAATTCCATAACAATGAACCCTCAACAATACCTGATTTATAACAATAGACTTCTCTCTCTCTCTCTCGCCAACCACTTTCCTTGTCAAAGTATTTTTCTTCTTTTTTCTCTCACCTAGTCCCGATTCTCAAAGGAGAACATTCAATCTTGTTTAATGTTCACCTGAAGTCCAAAAGAAACTGAATATATATATTTATATATATATTTTTTTTTGAAAATTAATATATATTCATATTCAATGCTCTTACTGACCAAAAAATAAAATAAAATTCAATGCTCCATTTTTTGGCACATTTTTTGACCAAAAAAATAAATTTATGCCACATTTTAAGTCCATAACTGAAGGAAATTATTTCTATAAACTGATATGTCCAGAGTTTACTCCTCATGTTTATGGAGTGGTGGTTTGGGACATTGGCAACTAGTGTGGTAAGAATAATTTCGCATAAATCCACATCACTCGGGTCGGGTAGGGCCCAAACTAGGACGTTTGAACTTAATGGAGTAGAATGTGATGACTTAATCCCACATCAATTAGTAAAATGAATATGGAGTGATACATAAGTTTGGATTTTAGACCTTAATTGTAAAATATGTTTTTAAAACTATGCTACTTTAATTCAAAGCAAATAGTATTGCACAATGAATCTATTGCCAAAATACTGTCATTTTCAAACAAAAATACTTATCTATCGTATTTTTTAACTTATTTACCGATCTACTGCAATTTTTAAAAGCAGAATTATTGATTCCGCTTTCAACACAATTCCATTTTGAAAGCAGAATCAACAATTCCACTTTCAATAAGTGATACAATAATAAAGGAAAAAAAAATTTATAAGTATTAAAAGCGTTCTTATTGAAAACGAAATTGTTGATTCTGTTTTCAAAATTTTCAATCGAAAAATAAGTTGGAAAGTGCAATAAATTGATATTTTTGTTTAAAAATAATAATATTTTGATAATAAATCCATTGTACAATGCAAGTCCAATGCATTTTAATTACAAAAAGAAATAGACAAGTTTAGTGTCCATGTGTAACCTAATTTCTTCCCATTTTAATCACTCATAGTCTTCTGTTTACTTATAACTTCATATAATATAATTTATTTATTCTCTATTCCATATATTTCTGTCACTATCTTCTTATTGTTGAAACTTGATTATCAGTTGCACAAGAAACTCACTCAATTGGGAGAATAAATCACACCTTTATTGAACATAAACTTTGGCTTATATATAAGCCTTTTACAACTGAAAGCAAAGCATAAACAGCCCACGTTTAACAACCCTAAGAACGTGAAAAGTGGATGAGAATAATTCAAACCTAATTAACTAATTCCTAAAGACTAGGACTTATTAACAGAAACAATAAATATAGGACAATTAATGTACTTAGACACTAATCCTAAGCTCCATCAATTCCTCCCTCAAATTGCATTGCATCAAGCAATCAGTTTACTCACTTGGCATGCTGCACAACTCGAGCAAGTCCCTTAACTTTACAAAGGCATCCAACTTCAAAGGCTTGGTCATGATGTCTGCCACTTGATCTTGTGAATTGCAGTGCACAACTTCTAACACGTCATCCTTACATAGCTCACGAAGGAAATGAAACCAGATATCGATGTGCTTGCTCCTTCCATGCATGACAAGATTTTTGGATAGTTTAATAGCAGAACTGTTATCACAATAAATAACAGTTGACTTACTTTGGTTGTAATCGAGTTTCTCAAGAACCCTTCTCATCCAAACTCCTTGGCAAGCACATGAAGCTGCAGAGATGAACTTAGCTTCTATGGTTGAAAGGGTGACAACTGGTTGCTTCTTTAAAGACCAGGCAACAGCTCCACTGCTTAGCATAAAGACATACCCTGATGTACTCCTTCGATCATAAATATCCCCTGCATAATCACTGTCCGAAAATGCTACCAGCTCCTCATTACTTTCACCTCCCTTATTGTAATAAATTCCCAGTTCAACAGTCCCCTTTACATACCTCAGAATCCTCTTCATAGCTTGCATATGTAACTCTGTTGGTCTCTCCATATATCTGCTAACCAGACTCACAACATACATAAGATCAGGCCTTGTCACAATTAGATACATTAAACTGCCAATCATTTGTTTGTACTGCGTCGCATCAACACGAGCTCCATCTTCATTTTTCATGAGTTTACACCCGGGCACTATAGGATTCTTTACTGAGTTAGAGTTTTCCATACCAAACCTCTCTAATACCTCCTATGCATACTTCCTTTGGCCCAAGAAAATTCCCTCACTGTTTTGAATAATCTCAACCCTAAGAAAATACTTCATCTTGCCCAAATCTGTCATATCAAACTCCAATTTCATCGAGGCCCTAAATTCTTCAAATATACTTGCATCACTTCCTGTAAAAATCAAGTCATCTACATATAAGCTTACAATCAACATCTTACCCTCTCCTTGAGATTTAATGAATAGTGTGTGCTCAATTTGACAGCGCTCAAAACCTTCCTTGATGAAGTATACCTCAATTTTGCTATACCAAGCTCGAGGAGCTTGCTTTAACTCGTACAGTGCCTTCCTCAACTTGTAAACTCTATGATCTTCTCCCTTCTTCACATACCCTTGAGGCTACTCAATGAACACTTCTTCATTCAGCTCCCCATGTAGAAACGCACTCTTTACATCTAATTGATACACACACCATTCTCTCTGTGCAGCTAGAGCCAAAATCATCCTGATTGTATCCCACCTAACAACCGGAGCAAATACTTCAGTGTAATCAATGCCATGTTGTTGTGCATAACCTTTTGCTACAAGTCGAGTCTTGTACTTGTCAACTTCACCTTGTTCATTGAGCTTTGTTTTGAAGATCCACTTTAGTCCTATCGTTCTGGCTTCCTTTGGCAAGTCAGTCAGCTCCCAAGTACCATTTCTTTCTATTGCTCTTATCTCACTGTCCATGGCCTCCCTCCATTTCAAACACTTTAGTGCATCTTCAAACGTACATGGATCTCCAGCTGGAGTATACAGCATGAAGTTGTGCATTTCTTCACCCTCAGACAACCCTTCACCTGTGACATAATCCTCCATCCAATGAGGCGCTCTTCTGGTTTTTCTCTAAGTGGACTAGACTCATCTCTCCCAAGTGAACCTGTTGAAGATGAGTTACCCACAGCTCTTGCATCCGCATGCTCTTGTTCTCCAATTTCATCTTCACTTTCATTATGCTCCTCACTCTCTTCTGTATCTTCTTCATTACCCACTTGAAGCACATCACCTCTCACTTCTTCTATGTTTTTTCCCCAATCCTAATTCTCATTTTCTTCAAACACTACATCTCTGCTCACCACAGTCTTCTTTGTAACAGGGTTGTAGAGTCTATAGGCTTTAGTTTCTTCACTCACACCCAGCAACACACACTTAAAGCTTTTGGCATCCAGCTTGATTTGTGTAGCATCTGGAACATGAACATGACCAATGCAGCCAAAAACTCGAAAGTACTCCACTGATGGTTTGATGCCACTCCATGCCTCGTCAGATGTGATGTTTTTTACAACCAAGGTAGGGCTTCTGTTTAGAACATGCACACACCAATTTACTGGAACTTTCTTTTTTGACAACATGCTCCTTACAAGATTCATAATTGTCCTATTTTTTCTCTCAGCAACTCCATTTTGCTGAGGGGTATAGGCAACAGTAAGTTGTCTTTTAATACCATTTGAATTGCAAAACTCATTGAATTCACTCGAGGTAAACTCACCACCTCTATCTGTGCGTAGGCAACACACCAATGAACCAGATTCCTTCTCAACAAAGCTCTTAAACCTTTTGAACATGTCAAGTGCTTCTAACTTCTTCGATAAAAAATACACCCAACATTTCCTACTAAAATCATCAATGAAAGTAAGCAGGTACCTCTTTCTGCCATTGGATTCAGGCATCACAGGTCCACAAATGTCTGCATGTACATGCTGCAGCTTTTGTGTTGCTCTCCAGAGACTCTTCTTAGGAATGGAGTCACGATGTTGCTTCCCCACAAGGCAATCAACACACACTTTTGTAGGAGTTTTGAGTGTTGGTAGGCCTTTGACCATTTTCTTGTAATACAGTGTCCTCAGGCCCTTGAAATTGAGGTGACCAAACCAGTAATGCCACAAATGAGTATCATTCTCACTGGCTGCCTGAAAACAAGTTAATTCCTGTGGAAACATAGAGGCTAACACCACGAACATTCTATTAGCAGACATTGTTGTTTGCATAATTAAGCCTCTAGTAGAATAAAACACCTTGCACACATTATGTTGAATGAGTATGGCTAATCCCTTCTCCTGCAATTGACCTATGCTTAATAGATTGTTCTTTAATTCTAGGATATAAAACACGTCACTGATCACTTGAATCGCTCCACCAATATTCAATCTAATGTTCCCTTTTCCCATCACAACCATTCTAGAATTATTTCCTAGCTTTACAGACTAGCTTAAGCTTTCATCCAAATTTGAAAACCAAAGCTTATTACCACTCATATGGTTACTACAACCAGAGTCAAGAAACCATACCTCCTATTTTCTTGAGTTATGAAGTTCCACATACGACATGAGGAGCATTTCCTCTTCTTCATCAAGCTCTGCGTAGTTGGTAGTTTTCTCCCAATTAGGGCATTCATACTAAAAATGCCCTAATTTATGACACTTGTAGCACTCGATGATGGCTCTGTTGAGTGGCTACTTCCCTCGGCCTCTTCCTCTGCCTCTATAGCCTCCACGAGCTTTCCTCTACCTCCAACTCTGTCATCCTCCCTTGCTTCAAACCTTTCTCCACCTGTGACCTTCAAAGCATGTGCTTCTTCCTTGTGACCTCTCATTCTCTGCTCATACACTAATAAACTGCTCTGAAGTTCATCAATAGTCATGGTTGCAAGATCATTTGATTCTTCAATGGAATACACCATATAATCAAACCTTGGTGTCATTGATCTCAGGATCTTCTCCACTATAACAATCTGCTCCATTTGCTCACCATGAGCTTTCATTTTATTTGCTATGGTGAGAGTCCTTGCAAAATAATCATCAACACTCTCACCTTCTTTCATTCCAAGAACCTCGACGTCTCTCCGAAGAGCTTGCAATTGAGCACGTTTCACCTTGGTAGATCCTTGATATTTCTGTTTCATTGATTCCCATATGCTCTTCGCAGTCTCTTTATTCAAGATAGTTTCCATGACAATCCGATCAATAGATTGAAAGAGATGATTCTTCACTTTTAAATCTTTCAATTTCTGATCCTCCATTGCCTTCCTCTGTGCCTCAGTTGGCTCAACTCCTGTTGCATCTGCAAGTATCCCAACTTCAATCAAACTCCAGTACTCCTTGGATCGGAGAAAATTCTCCATCAACATGGTCCAATGGTCATAGTGACCATCAAACCTAGGGATTGCAGGTAGTACAAAGTTTCCTTCCGCTGCTATACTTCGTGCTTTCCTTGTTCTCTCTCATCTTTCTTTCTCTCGTGTTTCACTTACAGTTTTCTCTCTTTAAGAATTCTGCAGATTCTTAACCTCACTCAATTAGGCCTCACAGTCGACTCTGATACCAATTATTGAAACTTGATTATCAGTTGCACAAGCAACTCACTCAATTGGGAGAATAAAACACACTTTTATTGAACAGAAACTTTGGCTTATATATAAGCCTTTTACAACCGAAAGCAAAGCATAAACAGCCCACATTTAACAACCCTAAGAACGTGGAAAGTGGATGAGAATAATTCAAACATAATTAACTAATTCCTAAAGACTAAGACTTATTAACATAAACAATAAATATAAGACAATTAATGTACTTAGACACTAATCCGAAGCCCCATTGCTTATCTCACTCTTTTATATTCGTGTAGAAAGCAGGGCCACTGCTAAGGGCCCCAATAGAAAACTCAAGAAGAACAAGTGGTCCAGAAAGCGATTTGTCGAGTCATCGACGACGGACATCTCGTTTCCTTTCAATAACGATTATCTCGTTTCTTTATTCAATTTTATTTATTTATTTGCATTCTTTATATATATATATATATATATATTTGTTTGGTTGGCACTCGAATCATTTTCGACTCTCCCTTCCACGCATCAGCTTTATCTTTCTACTCCGCAGATCTGAATCCTCCGAGGTCGCGTCTCTCCTAGTTGGTGGAATTCGATATTAGCTATACAATCAGACTCATCTGGTTTTAGATTGGGACATCACAATTCATTTGGCATGATATCATAGAAGTAGATCTTAGTTATAATTTTCACCACAATATATTAGCATAATATAAATTGACATAAAATTAATGGATTTAAATTAATTATTTCCCAATATATATTCAAAATATTATAACTTTGTTGAACAAATAATGAAGTATTCCGATAAATTTAAAGAATAAATAACTCATTTCGATTTTTTTTGATTTGCTGTAAGACTATTCTTTCGTAATCAGCGACTGACTAACACAATTCTGAATTTTCAAAAATTAAACTTAACTGCTAAACTTCTAATTATATTCTCAAATTCTTTTTGTTTAATAATACATATCGATAGTCATCAGGTGATTAATAAAAAGAAATAGGATCTACTAAGTCAATTACTTTATATTAATTTAACAAATTTGATTAGTATAATATTAGTTTTTAAGTTATAAATACGCAACACAAATTCTAGATAATCACGATCTAGACAAACACGATCACATTAAAGTTGAACCGTGCGGTTCAATTTGGTATCGACCGTAGATGATCCTAGCTTGAAGAACACAATCAATAATAGACCAAGTAAAGGGTCCCACCACCCCCACCAATAACCTTCCCCCACTCACCACACAAGAATCTCTCCTCCTCTCTCTGAGCAGTCTTCTCCAGGTCCTCCTCTCTTGTCCTCCACCCCTCACTTTTTCATAAACTCCAAACCCTAAAGGCAATTCCTCTGATCAGAAACCCCCAAAATTTCACCATAAACATATATCCAAATGGAAAACTTGTCCTACTCTTCTTACCCGGACTCAGGCAACTCCTCACCGCGTTCCCGAGAAATCGATTGCGAAAACGCTTCATGGGATGAACCACCCACCAACTACAAAGTCAAATTTATGTGCAGCTATGGCGGAAAAATCCACCCAAGACCACATGACAATCAACTCACGTACGTCGGCGGTGACACCAAGATCTTAGCCGTCGACCGGAACATCCGGTTCTCCGGCTTCATGCAGAAATTGTCGTCTCTGTGCGACTCCGATGCCTGCTTCAAGTACCAGTTGCCTGGTGAAGATCTTGACGCTTTGATTTCGGTAACTACTGATGAGGATTTAGAGCATATGATGCTTGAGTATGATAGGCTCTATCGTGCTTCGGCTAAGCCCGCGAGACTTAGACTGTTTTTGTTCCCTGTGAATCCTCCGTCTAGTACTTTTGGTACGAACGATACTAAATCGGAGCGACAATGGTTCGTTGACGCCTTGAATTCTGTGCAGATACAGAATCTGGAGACTTCTTCTCCATCGGCTGCGACATCGACGGCAATTCCGGACTTTTTGTTTGGTCTGGAGAAAAGTCAAGCGCCGCCAGTAGTGGCATCGAAATTACAAGATCCGCCGCCGCAGCAACCGACGGTTCCGGAGATAACTGCAAAAGAATTTCATGCCGGATCGGATTGTGGATCGGAGGATCGGCATGTAATTGGAGACCCCGTGGTCTCCCCGGCGGAGTTCCAGAGACTGCAGATTTCAAGTCACGATCAAGCTATGTTTAACCGGAAAATCGACGAAACAAATCCTAGGGGCTATTCTGGAGAGTATTATCAACAGAAACTTCAAGAAAAACTTTCGCTGCCGCAACCGACGGTGCCGGTGCAAATTCCGGGGTCATACTTTTCAGAACGGCACATGAATAGCGGAATTTACCCTATGGCGGCAGCGCCGGGAAATGAACAGCAGGTTTATCTGATTCCTACGGCGGCTGGTATGTATCAGGCTCCGGCAATGCGTCCGGTGACCGGACAAGTCGGCCAGGGTTACTATGGGATGCAAAGAGTAGTACCGGAGGTTTACCGAGAACAACCAATGTACAATCTGGTCCCACAGCAATCGATTCAGCAACCGAAAATTGGAGGCTACAGCGAAGCCATTGGAATGGTACGGCCGCAAATGAGCGGCGGAATTGGGGTGACGGAGGCGGGGTATGCGCAGGTTGGCTATGACGGGGCAGGGAGGCAGGTGTACTACACTGCACCAGGAGGGGTGGTGCCGCAATATCAGGCGGTGAGCGCGGCGATGGATGTGAGGCAAAGTGGTGGCGCGTTAAATCAAGAGGGTTAGGATGTTGCATCCAAGGGTTCTCAGGCTTCTGTGTGATTTTTTTTTCTTGTTGTTCACTTCTTGAGAAACTAATAAGAACATTATAGCATAGTGGTTTGTGCAAATTGTGGTTTTTTTGTGCAAATTTATGGTGTTTAGTGCATTAGTTTTGTTTGTTTGGGCAGTTTGTTTTTGTTGAGAATACATTGATGAGAACATTAGAGTGGTTTATGTTGTGAATGTGATTATTGAATTCTCTGTATAGTTTTTGCAAATGTTATATGTTTAACTACTTTATTAGAGTGGTTTATGTTGTGAATGTGATTATTGAATTCTCTGTATAGTTTTTGCAAATGTTATATGTTTAACTACTTTTTTTTGGTATGCTAACGAGTAGTGTTTGAGCCAACTTACCTCCCTTTCTAACTAATCAAAGACAGACTTGATTAATCTTTCATGATCTGACTTCAACATAATTGTTAAATTTTAAATTGAAAATGTATGAGTTTACGGGTCATCCTATCTCCAATGATCTACCCCTTGAGGTTATGATTAACCATTCCTTAGTTATCCCATCATAGGAGTTTTTCTTGTTAAAATTTTGTTGGATGTAAATTTTATTTTACTATAATATTGTGCAGTTAGTTTATAGTGTTTAGTTTTGATCAGTGGGGTTGTTTGGCAATTTGATAATGTTTGTTCTTGTGTGTGCCTGATGAGATCATGAGAATGGTATATTGGTTTGGGTGTGTAGCAATACTTTACTAATCCCAACTTCGAGAGACTCTGTTTTTTGGCTGATGGAAAATATTGTCAGCTGTTCTTTGACTTCTTTCTATATGTTATTGCACAAAGACTCCTGACCATATATTTTATTTTTCACTTTTACGCTGTAAAATTTTCTTACTTCTTGTCTCTTTCAGTTTTGTACATTTCACTATTTTGACTTTTGTATCAATGGTGGATGACTATTCTCATATCAAATACATGCTGGAGAGAGAGAACACCTTTTAATACATTTGCTTTTTTCCTTAAAATTTGACAGCAACACTTGAGTAGCCAAACAAAGTTCAAAAATATCAATTATTTTGAGCTGCTAAGGAAGAAGAGTTCAGTCGCCTTCGCCGTCGATGCCAGATCATAAGAAAGCCAGATGTACTCAATCTTATTCTGTATGTGAAAAACTAATAATTTTTAAGTCAATAACAGCAACAGATGTAATTAAAATTTTATTAAGATCGAGATTGCATAGCAAATCAACCACTATAAGAACTTCTCTAATAGATTCTCAATTCTATTTTAGAGAGTTAACTCTTAAAAATTTATCTCCAATAGACTCTCTATTTAGATTAGTTAAAATAAAGAGTCTAATTTAGCTCTCTACATTTGGAGAGTCTAATTTAACTCTTTATTCGATCATTAATGAATAATAAGACGAGAATTATACCTTTTTCATTAAAAGTTTTGATTATAAAGACTATTCTTTCGTTAGAATAGAGAATTCATTGGAGTTATATAAAAAATTTCATTCTCTATTTTATTTTTTTGATGAAGATATTTTTTATTTCAAAAAAAAAAATACTCTCTAAAATGGAGAGTACTATTAAAAATACTCATATGGGCCTTCTTATTACACACCTAGCTAAAATTAACTCAAGTGTGCTTAAAACATACTAATATTTATAGTTCATTTTAAAACTCTACCAGGGGAAGAACATGCCTTTTGTCGGCTTTTAAAGCATGCCTCCTGAAGGAAGTAAAATCTTAGAATAATGCTCTTCTCTAAGTGAAGAAGAATGATTTTTGGATCCCTTTTTTTAAATCCGCCTGTCAAAACATTTTGTTTTATCCAATGCCCCCTCCTAAAATAAAGTTGAATGGCAGTTTCACATTAAATCATAATTTAGTGTAACACACTAAAAACTGAAGATTTGTAGTACACCCTTCTCTCTCTCCCTCTCTCTCTCTCTCTCTCTCACACACACACACACACCTTTATATCAATTAATTGACCACTTAAGCATAAATAACATGAAGTGGAAAAGAAAATTGAAAGAGTTTTGTTGTATCCCAAACTACTAAGCAGAAGACAACATTGAATTAAAAAGTTACATAAGCTGATTATTTGATTAGGCTACTTCTCTTTTTGGTGGATATAAATCATTGGATCTCACAATATCAAATTAGATTAGGTGGATCTTTTGAATTTGCTTATATCTGAAGATAAGATTGCGATGAATATTTTAAATTAAGTTGCAATTAACTAGACGAGTAACCTAGTGGGAATCAACTAGACTAGTATGAACCTCAAAGGGTTAGCCTAGTGATAACTCAGTCAGATGATAAAAAGAGGGACAAGTCAAGAGTTCAAATATCCCACGAAGCATAGCTCCTTGGGTCATCCCATAGATTTACCCTCTTTTGTTTTTGTGGAGAGACTACTTTGCACAAGATCCAGTATTAATCTGGTATGTAAGCGGGAAAGTATTGTGATGATCTATTGGTGAGAGTAGAAGTAAATTCCAACTTCAAAATATTGAAAATAGTGATAACCAATAAAATATGTTTCACTTATTTATGACTTTAATTTGGTGCAATGCCTTATTTTGTCATCTTATAAGCAAAGCAGTGAGGCAAGCTTATTTCTTCTGAGAAACACCATCAACCCCTTCAACATTCTCCTTCACAACCTCCGCCATTACAAGTTACACCACCACAGCTGCCACCACATCCGCCACCACAGCCACCAGACCCGCCGCAAGCACTAGCTCCAGTCAACCCACTAAAACAGTGGCTCTTCATTGTACTTGCATGGACACAGCCACCATATTCTATGCTCAAAAGGCCTTTTTGGACAGTTCCATTTCTCTTGCTGCATTCTCCACTGCATGGGCAATCCTTTTCTGGCATTGCTTCATGAGCCTCTCTAATTTTCTCTCTTTTCAAATTTGAAGAACCGTAGCCTTCTTTCAGTAAAATGTCGGAAAGTATGAAGGCCAGGGTGATTCCAGGCAATACAAACCCTTGTTCCTCAACCTGTTCCATCTCATACACAAATTCAAGCATTTCAATTTTACTGAGGAGCTTCAAATTTGAGTTAATGAAATAAGCAAATGAAGAAACAATGGTATCTACCCGGAGAAAACCCGATTTCAAGTTAAGCAAAGCTATTGCTTTTCCGTAAGGATCTTCATCAGAGAATTCTACTACTGTCATGAAATCCCTTTCATCTTCCTTCCTCTTGCAATCCTCTATTTCGTATGCTAGTTTTCTTCCATGAAAAATCGTTATCTGGAGCAAAAATTTATAGAGAAGTGTCGCATTTTCATGTTGTATGAAAATTAGATGTACCTCATAGTAAATGATTAATATATGTGTTCATGTAAATTACATGGATTCGTGAGTTGGGACGAGGCTGTTCTTAATCCATCGACACCAATATGGGGCAGAAAGGAACATATTTACAGTTTTTCACCTCATTACGGATTGCATATTAATGAATTTGCAATTCAATCAACTGAGTAGTTTTACTATCATTTCTAAACTATCAGTAATTATGAATTAGATCTTAGTATTTTATGCTTGAACTTCAACTAATTTGAATGGAATTTTTTCAGGACGGATTGAAAAGCATTCCAGTGCCATAAAGATGCTTCAATCCAAGAATATGATATTGGAGGGAAAAAAGTGTTGATATTTCAGAAAACTCCCATGGAAGTGTCATGTGGAAATTGAATAAAGAGCTTTACAAATCACATTAATTTATCAGCAAGTTTTACCACCAACATAGACTGCAAAAATGCATTTTTTGGTATTTATAGCAGATTGTCTGATAGAACGAGGGGAGAAACAAAAGAAGAGACTTTGGAAAAATCCCAGCCGATTGATGTGCTTCCAAGTTCCAAGGTACTCTGATCAGTGGTCATGAACAAGAAAGTTCTGAAATTGCTTTTAAGGGAATTTTTTTCATTATTTTGCTTGGTGGTCTGATTCTTTTGCAATACTGGTGTTACATTTATAAACCAAGCCAGTGATGATATATGTAAGGGGTAGATATCGCTACGGATCTCATCCCTCCACTTGAAGGATTCCGGCTGACCTGGCGGCACCGAGCCCCAGTAGCTTTTACCTCTCTTCGCCAATAACCCCGGGGAAGACGACTCTCTTCCGATGTGGGATTGCCTTATGAAAGGGTCCTATTTGCCTTAGGAAAGGGTCCTATGGTCTTATTGGTGAAGAGAGGTAAAGGCTACTGGGGCTCGGTGCTGCCAGGTCAGCCGGAATCCTTTAAGTGGAGAGATGAGATCCGTAGTAATTTCTACCCCTTACAATATAGATACTGACCTTTCTGCTGCCCATAAGCTCAAATGCAATGTCATCTTCACTAGCATTCTTCTGAAGCTGAAAGGACCATTGGGAACCCATCAAAGACCATCCTTCTCCAAGCAACTCCGCAAGAAGACATGTTTTACCAGATCTTGTTACGCCAATTACTTCTTTTCTAGAAGTACAACTGCTCTTCCCCTCTGATTTCTTTGGATCCCCACTACAAACAGAGCCCAAATTATTGACATTAGACCTTTAGAATGGTTTATAATTTCAAGTTCTATCGTGTGATTACAAATGCCTTGGAAAATTTATGAAAATGAGAGAGATTAAGATAGTTTATGAAGATGATACAATAATATAAATAATTCATTGCATTATGCAGTTGCCCTTCAAAAGCATGCTCATAGATGAGTATGCACCTCATTCGGACACTGATGACCTCGTTGCCAGCCTCATCTACAATACATGTCCAACTCTTGGCCTGTTGAAACCTTTCAGGAAGTGGAAAGGAAGAAGTGCTTGATAATGGGTGCCCTCGAACCATGTGCACCAGATATGGTGCTTGAACTGGAGGAGTGACAGAGACAGCAACCCGCAGACTAATTGGCTGGGAGCCTACAACTTCAGAACTGGATACCAAGTCAAACCATTTATCAACTGAGAGTTTGGAAATGGAGTTCAGCAGCTCCTGTAGCGCGATTGAAGTAGTTCCCAAAATTTTGAGTGAATTTTCAGTGTGCAAGCTAGAAGGCAAGTATGACATGAGTTCAAAAAGCAGCTCTCCAGTAGGTTCACAACGGAGAGCTGCAACTTGCTTCTTCCCTAGCTCAGACATAATGCTTAATCTTCTTTTGGTGTTGAAGAGCACATCTGGCTGTTTCTTACTGAAATAGACAAAGAGACTGCCTGTATGACCAGCTGGTAAGTTCCTTACCCCCACAATCTCCAGGAAAACCTGAACAGGAATTGGAAACAATAAAGCAAAAATCTCCAATGTACACAGACTGAACAACTTTGATGGACGGCTATCAATTTCCAAGGATCATGTGCTTGGAAACTGAAATACCAAAGCATTATAGTTTCACTTAAAATAATCTTACACATAAAAGAAAACTTTCGGTGATAGTTAAGGATCACCACAGTCCACTTTTTCTGCATATGTAATTTGAATAAAACCAAAATTGAGGAAGTGGCAAGGGAAAGTTTAGGGTACCTCCACGAGCATTTTCCTGGCAGATAAATTATTTTGTCATACTCAATTGAGGGAACTATTTCCTTGGTCACAGTCTTAAAAGGGCTTTTATTGCTCAGGAGAGGAGATGGGCCACTGCCTCTAAACATTGTCCCAGCCTTCCAATACCTCAAACCAAATGTATCTTCCCACTGCTTTGTGGTTGCAGTAAATCCAACATCCAGCTTATTCCCTTCAGTTCTATCAGAATCTGTGTCATCGTGCTCTAGTACCTTGCCTAGTATTGCCATCAGATCCTTGCAATAAGATATCGGATGCAATTGGTGAGAGTGCCAGATAAGGTCAATGTCATAAGTTGGAACACAGAAGCGCTTCATATTTCTCTCTGTATTTTTCTTGATCAGATACAGGAACCCCTTGTATCTTTCAACAGCCCCTTCAAGGAAGAGATCATCATTCATACTCGGTGTAGATACCTGTCAAATATGTTTACACGAAAAAGGTACACAGTTCTAAGTTAACAAAAATGGTGGGACTTTGGCTGTTGAAATCTCAAACATGGCTAAATATCCACTTGGTTCTTTTGGGGGTGGGGATCATAAAGTTTATATGGTGCCAATAACCACAGCTCAAACTTGAATTCTTGCAACTGATCAACAAAATAGATGTATGATATTGGAGTTGCATTATCAAATTCAGTTCACCCTTATTTTACCGGGGCATTTGTATTCCTTCCACATTCCATTGTTGCTTCAATAGGAATTCACAAACAAATTTTTCTTGTAAAATGCTTTGCCTGAGTGAATTTACTTCACAAAAACACTTGATCTTCACTAGTTTTTACATCCTCCTGTTGCGCTTACCTTTTTTTGAAAAGAACAAGCATGCGAAATTTACAAGTTTTTTGTCACCTGAAAGTAGAAAGGACTTTGCCTTTTAACAGCTGAAACGAGATCATAATTGGTGCTTCCTGATGCTGGCAACATATTTTCAGCAGCATTTTGTAAGTGGACAGTCCAATTCAGCTCATACGACTCGTTTGGATACATCATCTTCCAGATTTCTTCACTTTGTTGTTTGGAAATGCCCTGCACTGAGGACACAACATTTTGATTATCAAGGATCCTCCCAAACAGCTCCTTGCAATCGACCATGTACCGTACCTGACATCAATGAGCTTATCTTAATTAGTAGTTTTATGTGATGAACTTTGGTACATGCCGAGTGTTATAATCTTAAGAGCCTACCGGATTGAGCCTGTGACAATGCCAGATCCATTCACAATCAAGAGGCACTACCAAAGGGAACTCTGGAAACTGGGACTCGGCATGTTTGGCTAGTAAAGGAAGCCAACAATATTTGTACCTGAAATTCACATACATGTCAACACGTCCCTAACTCGTTGTTCAAACTCCACAAGTGAACTGCATGATTTGATAAGGTTCAATTCTTCACAATTTTTCATGAGCATGGACGAGAGAGCATCAGAAAGTGTGATTAATTCCTTCAGGATTGAAATTCTGTTAGGCTTATAAAATCATAGAGCAATAACTTGGTATCATATGTACCTATATATGGCTCTCTCTAAGGCAGGGCCATCATAGAGGTGGCGATTCTTATCGACAGCTGCTAGAAATTTTAGCTGCTGCTTGGCTGCAGCCACAAGGTCTTGGCTTATGCCAATCTTCTGTGCTTCAACCCATTCAAGTTCTTGATTCTTCTCCATCCCTCGGTTCGAAAACGATGAACTACTAAATGATTTTGCTGTAATGCAGATTCAATGACACAGCATAGAAGTACTTAAGATTATGGTTTGTGTATTAATCTTTCAAATGTGGTAGTTTAAAGAGTACAGACCATCCCTTTTAATGACCCATAACGGCCATACTTCTTTCGTTTGGTTTTGGTTTCATGCCTCATGTACCTTCCTGGATATATGCAGATTTAGTGGAAGTGTAAAGCTACCATGAGAATTGCACTCTAAGGCAGTTCCTGATATTGAGGTTCACACATAAATAGCAGGTTCCATCTAGATTTTGACTAATTTTTTCAATTGGAGGAAGTGCAGTATCTATGTGTTGAATTCTACGGTATATTTAACAATATAATAAATTATTATTTTTTGAAGTTCCTTGTGAAGCTTTGAGGGATGCATCCATGGCTTATGGCTCTGAACACAGGACAATAAGATCACATGATACTAAGGTCGGACTTAATTGTATTCTTCCTCAAATTTAGGTTCATACACCAAGCCAATTTAGGTTGGGGATAAACTACACTAACATCCCCTAAGTCTTGAAAAAATAGCATACAGATCCCATGGTATTTGAGTTTGTGTCATGTATAGGGACATTTGATATTGAGGAAAATTGAAGTCTCAAATTGCGCATTGGCCCCCTTTTTTGTTTATAAATATTTAACTTTGTTGGATAAAGATAAAATAGTTTTTTCATTGTTGATTGCACCAGCTCCAAGAAACTGTTTTTACACTTCTTAAAAAATATCAGCTGTTGTCCTGGTAATTTGAGAAAAAAAACACCCTCAAGAAGCATAAAAGTTTTTAGCTTAATTTATTGTAAAACTAAACTCAAATTTGAAAACTTGCATTATTACTTGGGTAAAAATTATAGTTGGTCCATGGACTTTGTTTTCGATTTTAATTTTATCCATAATCTTTCAATTGTCACAATTTAGTTCATCAACTATCAATTTTTATTTCAATTACATCATGTCATCAATTTTAATTGTTAGATTAACACTGAAATAGATCAAATTGGGCTAATCTCCAATTGATTTAATGATAAAATTGATGAAAAGACTTACTTAAAACAAAATTGATTGTTGAAAGATTGAACTGGGGCTATTAAAAATTCAGAGACTGAATTGGGGCAACTAAAAATTCATAGATTAAATTGAAACCACAAATAAAATTTAGGGACCAACTATAATTTTTTCCCTAATTATCTCCATTGTCCAAATGCTGACCCAATACCAAAGCAATTTCTTTTTTTTTTTGGGCTACAAGGTGTTCAAGCTTGCGTTAACTACTCTCTTGCGCTTTGAGCTCTAAGTAGGCCACCATAACTTGAACTAGTTTAAAAACATATCTTCTGAGGAACAAATGTGATTGACACTTATGTTGTGAAAAATATTGAACCTCAAACTTCTTACTTACAAGAGGACCGGCTTGAGTCACTTCACCACTAGACCACCCTAAGAGTTGAATATCAAAGCCTTTAGCCATATATGCATTGCACGGGCGATTTTCTGCAATGGATTGAGATCGCGATCTTCTACATAAACTCGAATGGTGAATCTGAAAACACTTAGCAAAGTCAGGAAATGGGCTAGGTGTACATCCAGCTAATTCCCTCCGATACTTAAGTCAGTCGGCGTTCAAGTGAAAATGAGTGTACAATATGTTGTAAATTCAGATTGCATACTTGAGTCTCATTTTTATAAGAGTATTTATACTTCAACACACAATAATACAACTCCTACTCTGAGTCCCATCCTAGCATTTAGTAGTATGGGTTCACCATCTAACATAATGAGTACTCTCCCATCACTTTTCACTAATATTGAGCACTCAGATGCCTGGACTCGCCCTTGGCCACGCACCAACTATTAAAAACTCATTCCCCGACCAACGAGCAATCTAAAAAAATATTCAGACCTTATGGCTGAGCCATAATGAATGGTTGTTACATCCTCTCAGGAGCTCCCAAGGGCTCCTTCCTCGATTTAGTTGTTATTAATGCAAAATAATTGGCAAGACTCTAGGTGGCTCTACAGCCCCCTAGTTGACACGTGGAATAATGAAGCCGGTGGGATGTCCAAAGAGCGCCGAGGAGATAAGTCAAGGTATGGTGACACGGAGCAGTCGAGTACAACAACTGACATCGTATTTAATGCGATATGACTCCTCATTTATGGTGAAATGAGTTATAATGATAAGGCAAATAAATGTTCATCTGCTAGCACCTGCCCTCTGGGAGTCTAAGTCTACTGTCATGATGGCTAAGCATTAATGACTGACGCGCCGAGACAACGCGATCGGCTCCCCCGATGAATTGTTCCTCCCGAATATTCAATGCTCAGTTGATGTCAGATGCCGATCTGGGAGATTTGGGTATTCGGGGAGTGGCATAAATGCTCGGCATCTATCTGAGCATTTATCCCATTTTCCTAGCATTCAATAGGAGGAGACGTGAATAGAAAACACTCATTGCGCGAGGAATAGTGTGTCAGACGTAAGATGTCCAGATAAGACTGGAGATCTTTGATAATCATTGCTAATTTAAGTATAAATACTCCTCAAAAAAATAGACAAAGGTACGCAAACTCGAATGAGAAAAATAGTTCATTGAGCAAAATCTTTCGACCTTATACTGACTTAAGTTTCGGAGGGGATTAGCCGGGTACTCGTCTGACCCCCTTTTTATGACCCTGTTGTTTTAGGTTCGCCAGCTTGAAGATCGTTGTCTCATTCTATTGCAAAAATTATTCCGTGCAATAATGATAACTATCTCCCACGATTTTAGAAGATTAGACCGTCATTAATAGCATGTCTTTCCGTCAGGACTCCCATTAATGCTCCGTTTTATGATATGTAAGGTCTGACATTAGAAATAATGCTCGGTCCTGAATGTTTTACTCACTAGGCATGACCTATCATCTCATTTTTACAAGTTGCATAACGTCCTGACATGCATGATACAGGTGGCCAGTGTTGTTTTATTGAAGATGGCACTAGAGTCATCACTCAAGGCAGATTTCAACAATGTCATAATGTAGATAGATTTATTATCTGACTATATAGACCGTACAAAATGGCAACTACACAACCAAGAGTTCATTCAGTTGACATCAATATGTCGACTTAATGCCTTGGTATTGTGATGTCTGGGTAATATTAAAATATCAAATTGAATATCATACTAAAAATTATAATTTTTTTAAAACAAGTTACAATTAAATAAATTTAATTACGATAAGTGTGCGAGACAATTTTCACACAATAAATAAAAAGGACAGATATGTTCTTTGATAAACACAAGATTTACCTAAAAGTCGAGGATCTCATAGCAACAGGAAGTGAGAAAGATATTAAGGAGTGGTGATGAATAACTTTCTCGGCAGTCTGTGCGATTCTGACGTGTCGAGATGAACTCTGCCACTCAAAAAATAAAGTTTGAAGAGCACTGGAGTGTTTTCTGGCATGACCCCTCCGACGATTAAGTCAATACGTGAAAGAAGGGGGAAAGAACATTGTTCTTTTATTTGGATGAGAGTTGCGTCCCTTTGCCTTACATTTGTGAGAACTATTTATACCTCAATGAAGGTAATCATTGCGGATAGGTGGGTCCCTTAGAGAGGAAGTCCCTCATTGGTCCCTTTGGAAGACAATTTGTGGAACATAGTCCTTGGGTAGAGCGTCTTCCTTGTCAGATGAAAATAAGCTTTAGCATTTAATGCTCGGGCCCCCAAGCAGTTAATGCATTTCCCTTGGAGTCCGCTGAACAATATATGTATCACATCCTTCTAATGAATCATTTAATGTTCTTTATTGTGGCTGCGCATGCGCTAGGGCATTTGTGTCCCTTGCCTTTCCAGGAGGTCAAGTCATCTGGGCTTTGTACTTCATGAACTCTCTCTATTGGTCACCAAATTGTCTACTTTATCATTCTAACTACCTTGGAAAGAGGGTTTGATGATTAAAAGTCACACATTTCTTTGATGTGGTGACGTTATTCTTGATTTCTCTAAGAACTCAACTATTTGTCATAGCCCAAGTCCCAAGGTGGTCACCATTACCTCGACGGAGCGGAGGACCCGACGTGGAGGGCACGTGTCGGGTAGAGGTCTCCTCGGAAAACTTTGGGAGCTGAGGACAGGTGTCACGTGATGAAGGCTCCGAGGTGCTTTTAGTACCGAAGACACGTGTCACTTGCAGAAAGCTCCGATGTGCATTTAGCACTAAGGTGACATGTCATATGGAAAGTGCTCCGTAGAGAAGATGTCGATGACTCCACAAACAAGATGTCGAGAACTCTGCAGATAACATGTCGAGGACTCTGTGGACAGCATGTCGAGAACTTCACGAACAAGATGTCGAGGACTCCACGGACAACATGTCGAGGACTCCGTGGACATTCGAAAAACACTCCGCAGACAAGATACCGAGGACTTCGCAAACAAGATGTCGAGAATTCCGCAGATAATATGTCGAGGACTCTGCAGACATTCAGAGAATACTTAGCAGACAAGATGTCGAGGACACATGTTATCCAATAACATTCAACGACCAATATATCATGGACACATGTCTCGTCTCCCATAACCACAAAAAATGTCTCATCAATAAGAAACTTATAATAATTCTGAATGGCCGGAAAGATTCCAAAAAATTATATTTTGTTGTGACTGCACTAGAATCAATAACCTCAATTTCAATAATTAAGAATAATTCTTTGGCGGTACTTTGCACATGATGTCTAGAATAAGCATTTATCCCATGCTTTTCATTTTAAGATTATTTTTTTAAATAATAATCTCATCGGAGGCAAGTGGTTAAATTCTTCGGAACGACAAGGCCCCTTGGACAAAATTTATGCAGATTGTACAAAGTGAACGAAACTCTGTGTCTAATTTATAGTATACGAATATTTATTTAAAGTACACATGATCTATATAAAAAATGTGTGTAATAAGATTCGGATTAACCATAAACTTAATCTTGTAATTCACTTACTAAGATGGGTTCGAACGGTATATTCGATTATGATTCAAAACCGTTAACGTTAATTCAAATTCGTTGTTTTGTAATCTTTAATTTTTACTATCATGTTGAAATAATGCTGGAAGATGGTATTGCTGGCCTAATGAATTTTTGTATTAATCTTAGTTGTTACCTTCTTTTTTTGGTCAACTTTTCAACAAATGGCCTAACCAAGCCCTCACCGAAACCAGTAGCTTTTACCAAACACCAAACAAAGTTTGATTTGGTGACATAAAAACGTCTCTATCTCTTTGCTCTTAGGCTTTGCAGTAATCAATGACCGTGTTTTGTAGGAGAGAATGGAGTGGAAAGTGGGACCGTCCCACTATCATCACAAAATTATATTAATGGTTCAATCATTACACTGGCCTATCTCTCTTGGATTCAGATTCCATTTAATTTAGTTTTTTTTGATAAATCATCTGTCACAAATCACTCATTTATATATTCGAATAATTTATTTTTAATTTTCGACAAATTCAAATGGTACCAATGATAAATTATAAATTTAGACGTCCTAAGTTTAAATCTTAATAACTCCTTTCAGGTCAGGTCAATAGGGAATTATCTCTCATGTATACTTTAGTCTCGGCGTGAATGATCTGTTTTTGACCAGATCGAATAAGAGATTAGTTCAAATGTATATAAATTAATCTAAACATACTTGATAATTGAATAAAAAAAAGAATAATTTCCTTTTGTACCACGAGTTTCAATTGAATTCATAATTAAGTGACTGTCGACATCAAAAATAAAAAAAGTGAGATTAGAACGAACCCAATAGTCAATTAATCTATCAGATATATAATAAATAATATTAAAGTCTGTCAAATTGTATACTTGATAATTACTTCGATACTCTAAGTCCGCAAAAATTGTCCTTTATAGATAACAATATCAACCCATTTTCTATCCTTTTTTCCCGATGAATACATTTAACTACCCATTTTACTTATCCCACCAGCCCCAATGGGTCGCTTATTTTAGAACTTGATTAGAAGCTAAAAAGACTAGTACCAATCTTCACGCAACAGGGGTTTAAAGATGTAATTCACATTTTAAATTTGAGTTTTTTTTGCTTAAAATTTAATTTAATGGATAAATAATTAAAAGCATTTGAAATTTGCATCGTGGAAGCAATTTAAAGAATATATGATTGAAACGACTTGCATGTTTTTAACTTCTTTTTTATCTTATGTAAAATATGTCCCCAAACACGTGTGTTCATGGCTAGACACACTGCCCATCTTGCTCTAATCAAATACTAGGAATAGATAGACATATCTGATCACAATTGATAATGGTAAAATTGGCACAAGCTGAGTACATGGGCAGAAGCTTAGCTCGTGAGTTCTGTAGCCAGATAAACCGAGCTTCAGCAAGGACCTTGGCTTTCTGCTCGCTGGTACTTTAGTTTGGCAATTCGATTTATTTTGACTAATTCAAACCAGTTGAAATATCCACACTAGAAGGTATCAACTTCTATTTCACTTCTAATATCATTTTATTCAAATAATTGTTGAAGATCTTCTAACGGTACAATCTTTTGACCTATAAAAAGAATAAACTATGCATCATCAAGTAAATAATTCATAACCAATTAAATAAAGTTCTTCTATCATTCTTTTTAACTTTATCATCAGAGAATCGACTACCGAAAATCCTATGACTTTCGACTTCTTTTACAAGAAGACTCCCACCGGTAGCTAGGTCATCATTTCAGCCTACATAATTCAAATGAAACTCAAAAGTTAAAACTCAAATGCATATCATTCCTTAGATGAGTGTGAGATGAGTGGATTCCACTGGAAAAAATTGACATAAGCTACTCATCCGAGGGAAGATATGCATTTAGATTATAACTTTTAAAATTTTATTTAAATTTTGTACCATTGCTCATCCTATAAATAGATCATTATAATTACTCAATGTGCTCCATTTTTTTTTTTTCAAAAACAATCACATTCATATTATTCGAGAAAAGTTTTATGGTAGTGTCGGTGGTATTAATACTAAAAATTATAATTTTTTAAAGTTAAGTTATAATTTTTTTAAAATGTAAATTACAACTTCAAATTATATGATCGATCATTAAATATTGAGATCGATACCACATATTTCATGATCGATCATGAGTATTTGCAATCGATCACGAACTTATTTGAGTAATTATAATTTTTTTAAAAAAATATATAATTTTATTATATAAAATAATAATCGATGATACTTCCCATTATACGAAGCACTAACTAAGCAGCAAGTCCTGTACTCATCCAAGTGTATTTTTTCTTTAAGTTGTTCTGAACCGTGCGTAAATGTGGATAAGGAGTATGGGAGCTACAATGATGGTCAAGGGGCAGCATCGTAGGCTAACTTGTTTGATCTGCCGACTGGCACTAGGAATGAGGTTATGGTCATGCCACCCTTACCATACCCTAATTTTCGAATCATATGATGTGCCTGAATACCAATAGTATAGTTCAGCGATAAATAATTAATTAACTCATTATTGGTAAATGTAAAATTACTGTTTAAAAATGGGGTTTAGCACCACCGTTCCTCCCCATGCGTCTTACAAATAGAAGCAGAGGCGAAGAAGTGAGAAATGTCAAAGAAAAAAAAAGTGCCGATGTTCGGTGGCCACCGTTGACATTCACTTCCGACCACGGCCACTAACTGGTCCATTTGTCAACTTCTCCCTGTGTCTCCTGACCAAACCTAATCCCCCTTCAGAAACCGTCCCAAGTCTCTACAGATTTTCTTCCTAATTACAGATTATTCACTATAAACAAAGCCAAAATTAAATACAAAAACTTGTTATAGCTTTTACTGGCCTACTTGCCAAGGTTCTCTTCTTTTCTGCTTTCCAGCCATATTGTTTAGTGGATGGGAAAAGATTCAATATAATACACATAAAGAAAGTGGAAAAGCCAGAGGCTTCTTCGTGAAGCCCAACACACTTTGTTGAAATTTTTGTTGTTGTTATAGAGACAGACAGACAGAGAGAAAGAAAGAGAGCAATTTGTTGAAGAAGAAGAAGAGAGGAATTTAGTGAGAGATGGTGGTGAGGAAAGTGGGGAAGTATGAGGTGGGAAGGACGATCGGAGAAGGAACATTCGCCAAAGTCAAGTTCGCTCAGAACACCGAGACTGGCGAGAGTGTCGCCATGAAAATCCTCGATCGAAGCACCATTATCAGGCACAAGATGGTCGAACAGGTTAGTTTAATCTCTCTATCTCTCTCTCTCTCTCTCACACACACAGCTTCAGTAATCATTAATTCTTATATTACATGGTGAAAAGCAGCAGATAAATACACAAATTCATGTATAAACTGCAAAATGCATTGATTTGAGGCAGGTTAATTGAAATCTTCTGTCAAGATGTATTAATTGGGGGAGAGGAAATCTATATCATTTGTGAATTGTGAACGCTGAAGTTTTGATTGATGAAATTTGTTTTTTACCAATTTAAGTGGACGGTAATTATCAAGATTATTGGGAACGTAATTTAGAAATCGAGCCTGGATTGGAAATGACCTTCTAAAGCTTGGCTGGTTGTTACTAGCTATTTCTTATCCGAGTTAAAGAAGTAGCTAGCTCATAAACAACTTAGGCTCAGCTAGACGAAGAAGCTGGTTTAAGCTCATCGTCTAGTTGGACAAACCAAGCTTGAAGGAGACCAATCTCAGTTCTGCTGGGCTCATGAAGAGCTGTGTGGATGTTATACATAACAACAATAATACATTTTATGTGTGTTAATATACAAAGTATAAGTATCTTTTGACTAATGTATAAAGGGAATGAAATATGCAAACATGTTCAGTGAATTTTTTAATCTAATATATAAGGTGGATCACAGGATGTTTCTCTTGTTGACTATTTTGAAACGTATCATAGAGTTTTAGTCTCTAATTTGTGTTATTATTGTTAAAGGTATTGGTTCCAATCATAAAATTGACAGTGAGATAGTCTACTTGACAAGCTCGCAGTATGGTTTGTGCATCAAGCTTCTGTTTGCAAAATTACTAGTGAACAAAGATTGAATATGTTACTTAGGCTAGGGCAAAATTCAAACATCTTCAAATTTCAAGGAATCAATTATGAACAGTGGTATCTTATCCAGTTCAGAACATTTCCATCCTTGGTCTGCTTTGTTCTGCAACACTAGCTTGGTTCAAGTATCCACCAGAGCTTGAACTGCCTCCTTGAATTTACTATTGCTGCCTGGAGAAACTGGTGCATTTTGAGTTAGTTAAGTAAATCTTTGCAATTGTAAATCATCTTGACATCATTTCTATTGTGGAGAATTGAATTTCATTTGTGTGCTTACTCTGTAAAACTAGGTTCATATCTTTGACGAATGTGGAATCTCATTTGCACAGTTGTGTTATTGTTCTGACCAATGTGTAATTCTTTGATGACTGGCCAGATTAAGAGGGAGATATCCATAATGAAGCTTGTCAGACATCCTTATGTTGTCCGTCTACACGAGGCACGAGCTCAAAATCAAGAGTATAAACTTTTTGTTATAGAAATCTTAAGTTTCCAATATCACTCTAGACTTTTTTGCATGTGGGGAAATTCTCTCTTTGTTGACGTGTTCCTCCTGCTAACTTATATATATTTTGTTAGGTTATAGCAAGCCGGACAAAGATCTACATAATCTTAGAATTCATCACAGGTGGCGAGTTATTTGATAAAATAGTGAGTCTTCTAGCTTAATATCCTGCAGCTTATTGTGGATGCAGTGTATTTACACTAAGCAATGTTCTGCTCTTTTATGTTGAATTGGCTACTGATATCATGCGTTTTTTTATACAGGTTCACCATGGACGACTTAGTGAAGCTGAAGCTCGTAGATACTTCCAACAGCTGATCGATGGTGTGGATTATTGCCACAGTAAAGGAGTATACCACAGAGATTTGAAGGTATTCCATGGCTGATGCCAAAAAAAAATGTGATTATTGTTTCATTTTTGTACTGACTGAATTTTCTTGCTATGTACAGCCTGAAAATCTTTTGCTAGATTCCCAAGGAAATCTGAAAATTTCAGATTTTGGACTTAGTGCATTACCTGAACAAGTAAGATTTCTAGTGGTTATAGTGTGTATTAGAGTCATCAGACTTAACAATGTCGCATTTGATAACACTTTTATCATTGTGTTGTGCGATGCTGTTTGTGATAGGGAGTCAGCCTTCTTCGGACAACTTGTGGAACTCCTAACTATGTTGCACCTGAGGTAATTATTATAGTTCTTGGGCAGAAATGTAAAATAAACATGGGAAATGACATTGTTTTGGTCTCCCACTTTTCCTCCTGCATTAAACTTCTTTTTTCCCATTCTTCACTTTTCTGCTCTAGGTTCTTAGTCACAAGGGTTATGATGGTGCTGTGGCAGATGTTTGGTCATGTGGGGTCATCCTTTATGTGCTGATGGCAGGTTATCTCCCGTTTGATGAGGTTGATCTCACCACGCTGTATGGAAAGGTATTAAACTATCATCATATCTATATCTCATGATACTTTTTGATATCATTTTCATTTGGGACTCCACTTCTCGGGGTTAAACCTCAATTTAAATATGTTTGTCCTGATTATGGACTCAAAATGCATATTTTCTATCTGCATAGGAGTCTGCTTTACATTTCAACATTATCGAAATCTTGCAACTTATGCATCTTCTCTGCAGATTGAGACAGCAGAGTTTTCATGTCCATCTTGGTTTCCAGTTGGAGCAAAATCTTTGATTAATCAAATTCTAGACCCAAACCCTGGGACAGTAAGTATTGTGCGACAATTGTATACTTACTGGATACCATTTTGTACATCCTCCTGGATGCATTTATTTAATAGGCTATGTAGAGGAGAGATATGTATGAACTTACCAGATACGTGTATGTACAATTATTTCCTTTACTAACTTGGGCCCAAAATCATAATTCATTCCTAGTAGCAAATTAATTGTGCCAAGTCTACAAAGAATTGATAATAGCAATGAATAAAAACGTTGTAGGTCCCCACCAAAAAAGGTGTGGACCTTGTACATCATAGTCTGGTTCTGCTTTATTTTACCCAACTTTGTTGATTGGGTGCATGGGAAACTGTGAGTGAAGGTAAGCTCCATTCAACCGACTTGCAGCAATTTTGCCTGTAGAAGCTGATCGTTAAGGGTACTTGAAATAGGCTATTGCATAGCAAAAATTCATACCCACTTTTGATGGCTCAATGGAGCCATCAATTGATACTTTAGTACAATATTTCCACATAGCAGTATTTTATGGCACCTAGGAGGGTGTGTTTCACATTTTTGTTGTTCTCATTATTGTCGTTGGTCGATAAAATGAGTAGGATATTGTGACCGTTGATACACCAACATCATACTTCTGATATTTCCATATTATCTTATCTGGAAAATGCATGCCAATACAACTAATGTTTTTTTTATTGACAAGGGATAATAACTTTCTCGCTTTTTCATTCCTCTTTCTTGGTGCAGCGTATTCGGATTGAGGAGATTAGGAATGATGAGTGGTTTAAAAGAGGTTATGATCCTGTCAGACTTCTTGAAAATGAAGATGTTAACCTGGATGATGTGAATGCTGCTTTTGATGATCCTGAGGTTGGTACAGTTTTGAATTGATAATTTCGGTTCATAGAATTTGGTTTTATAGGAAATAGTGGACGTGTTTGTTTCATGCAGTTTGGTAGTGGGCTGGTAAGGCTTTCAGTGCCATTTTACTTTAGTTGCATTTGTTGTTATCTGGAAATGCTTTTTGTGAGGTTGGTGGCAGCTACTTGTTTGTGTCTACTGTCTAGCAATGAAATGCTCGCTCTCAATTTGCATTGGCGGGTTGGAATTAACCTCCATTCTGAGGTTAATCAATTTAGTCTAAAAACAAAAGTTTTCATGTTTTGGATGGCCCAAGCTACCCATCTCCTAAAGTTTCCACTGAACTGTTGAAGATAGATGTACGAGAGTAAATTTACGCACAAGTTAACAGCCTTAGCGACCACTTGCACCCATGAAAGCGAAAATTTCAACTGATTGGCATTTTAGTAGGAGATGAGCTGATGATTGCACATCCACGTGAGATTTCACCAAAAAAATACAAACACGCTTGGTTGATACACCAAAAAATTGAATGCTGACAACCTGCTTGGTTGATACAGAAACAGGTATCGAAGTTTGAACCCTCACTATTTTTAGGGAATCATGCTCTACTTGGTGCTCACCGTCTTGGTTCCATTCTCCACTTCAGTTACTAAGTTTTGCTTTATCAGTGGATAGAACACTTGAATGTAGTTGATTTGGGAATTTGATGAAATATAAAGATGACAACTACCATAAAACACATCTATGAAAGGATAAAGTTATCCCTTATTGAAACCATAGTTTCTACTTTTACCTTAGCATTCACTATTTACTCTACTTGATATATTTTCAAGGAGGGGTCTCCTTTCGCTAAAATCACGGAGCTTTCACACCAGTTTCTTTGTAAGTATTTGTTGGCTATTATTTTGAAACCTTTTCCTAAAGTTTAATGCACAATGATATCTTGTAGGAAGAACAAGCTAATGAGAGCAGGAGTGAGGATGTGGGGCCTCTTGTTCTTAATGCATTTGACCTAATTATTCTCTCTCAAGGCTTGAACCTTTCATCAATATTTGACCGTGGGCAGGTATATTTTTTTAATTTGTCACCTTATGCCCAGTCAGTGGACGTTCAAGCAGTCTTCTCTTCATCTCAAATATTAACCAGTGATAATATATGTTCTTAACATTTTATCTCGATAGTGAGTCAAATATTTTTTGATCTCGATCAGTACAATTTCATCTTCCTTTTCAGCCATATACCATGTTTATGTGTTCCAATATTTAAAAGGAAGTGTTTATATTCAGATGATAATTTATTGTGAATGGATTTGTCATCTCATTGATATATTTCATACATTGTCCCTTCTTGACAGGATTCTGTGAAGCATCAAACACGCTTTGTTTCCCAGAAATCAGCGAACGTTGTTTTATCGAGTATGGAAGTAGTTGCACAATCAATGGGTTTCAAGACACATATTCGTAATTATAAGGTTGAGCAGTTGAACTTGGTAAATTCAGCCAGTTTCCTGATGCAATACTTAGTCCAATATCCCCAAAAGTTGATCAACTAATGACGTGATACTAAAAACTAAAAAGTCATGTATGTTTTCTGAACTCATTCAAAATTGAAACTCCTTTCAGATGAGGGTGGAGGGTCTCTCAGCCAATAAGACATCTCACTTCTCGATAATTCTGGAAGTAATTTCTCTGCCCTTATCTTCCATGCTCACTAGTCAACCATCCTTTGATTTTAGTTAAATAATCCATTTTCTGAACAGGTGTTTCAAGTTGCCCCCACATTTTTGATGGTAGATATTCAGAAAGCAGCTGGAGATGCTAGTGAATATCTCAAGGTCAGTTGCTCAAATTGTTCTCTTTTCTACCACGTGGTTAAGCTTTAATGCCAAGTAATTTTTCGCATATTTTATTGCCTTCAGTTTTACTACTCACTGTTGCTGCTCGATATCTGTGATTATGATTTGTCCCTTACCTAGTGTAGTAGTGAGAACAAAGGGATTACTTTCTTGGATTCTGATGATCCACACTCGCCTGGTTTTTTTATCTGCTGATGCAGTTTTACAAGAACTTTTGTGGCAATCTTGAGGATATCATATGGAAGCCACCCAGTGAATCCCATAAATCAAGGATTACAAAGACCAATGGTAAAAAGCGTTGAATTTCCACCTTCTAGCATTATCTACTCAAGTTGTGTTCTATACCATGTTGACCTGCGTATTTCGAGATTACTTGTCATATGCCACAATCTTAATCGGTTTCCATATAGTTTACCAAACCCCTATACTTTTTTTCCTTTTTTTCCCCAACCTCTAATCCCATTAGATAGCTATGTTTCTCCGGCAGAGGTTGGTGAAAAAGATTCCCAGTTTTGTATGATTACTGTAAATCTCTTTATATGTAGATGTGTCTTTTGTCACACTCTAATTTCATTTTGTGGGCTAGTGATGTACAATCCGACTCCCTTGCCCATTCAACTTCTTGAAGGGTTCTCTTAACGAATACCTTGGTACATCTTCTGTTAGCTCCTTGGTTTCTGGCGTCAAAATGTTGAGTTTCAGTTTTAGTGGCATGAAAACGTTTTTTTTTTTTTTTAGTTTTTTCTGAAGGGTAATAACCTTTTTGGTTATAGAATTACGACCTTAAACCTCACACACCACAAAAGTATCCCAGAGCCACTGCTGGATTTAACTTTGACTGTGTGGTGCACTTTGTCGAATTTTCCTCAGGAATTCAATCTAGTATCTACTGTATCTATAATACTATAATTGCTTCCTGCAAGACTTGGCCTGTCGTCGGTAGAACCACTGGAGGGCCCTGCATTATGAAAAAAAATATCATTACTAAGATATACTTTTTCAAAGACGCTTTATTAAAATGAAAAAACAACAGAGTCAAGGTCCTCACCTTTTGTTCTTCATCCATCTCGGAACTAATTTAACAAGCAAAGAAAGCTAGTCAGAAAGTAGAATTACCATCTCCTTTGCCAAAACTAAAATGACAGGATTTATGCCAGGAAATGATAATGGATGAAGTTGTCTCTAGCAGATATGCAAATCATTTTGTCGAATAGATCATTGATGTATGATTTATGTGTAAAAAATTGGATAGATCAGTCTAAATCTATGCATATTCATTGATAGGAAGCTATTTAATTGATTGAAGACGCGGTGAAGCCAAATTCAATCAATTGCAGTGTTACTTGTTTAAAATTTTTGCATTGCGTCACTCATGATATCATGCTTAATAGATTCAACAACAATGATCATATTTGGAGTTAGTTTAAATAGGTAGTTTTTAAAGGTTTTGAAGTAAAATAAGTTAGGTTCGTTTAGACCTTAGTTTTTTTAACAGTTTATACAATTATTTTTTGAACTCAAAAAGGTTGATTCAAGAATTTGATTTTACGACTTTTTTTTTCGATTTTGATGGAGTTTTGTGAAAGATCTTTCATAATTTTTTAGTTTATTATATTCATAAAATATTATTAGTGACGTAAAATAATTTGAAATTCATATTTTAGAAAATATAATGTATAATCTATACATATATGTAATTATTTATTTTTATTTTGACAAGAAAAAGCTAAAAAGTCATTTCAAACCGATTTTTTTAATTTTGTTTAACTTTTTAAAGGACACCTCAAACGGTTTTGGAAGATTTTTTTTAGTTTTGCCTTTTGACAAAATTTTTCAAATCACAAATTCTCACCTAAAAGAGTCGGTTCTAAATAGGACCAATATTAAATATGCACTAAGCACATACCTATCTCATTAAATTACAAAAAGAAATCTTGGCAAGACCTTCACAATAACATCAAATTTCAAATGTTCATTGTTGCATGACTGAAAGAGAACTGAAGATAGCTGAAAGTCAAGAATGATACAGGCACAGTCTCCCTTAATCACCATCGGGGATATGTTATTGATTTTGCACACCTTGTGCAAGAAAAATTGTCCCTACAAATTCTCCTAACTTTTTCTGACCCAGGAACCATGTAATGGTCCATGGCAAGTTTTTAACCTTTCTAAATCCTTAAGTATTGGTTTTGGAGTAGCACATATGGGGTCCAGAAGTACCCCAAAACCAATAACTTTAACTCAACTTTAGGTATAAATTTTTAAGCTTAATCCTAACTCTAACTCGACCAACACCCAAGATACTCAACTCGAGTACTGTTCGAGTTAATTTCGAACAAACTCGGATTGAATTCGAATTATCTAATTCAGTCTAATTTCAGGTTGAATAATTCAGACCTGAAATCAGTTTGTTGTAAACTATTTTTTTTTTTTGCCCTGTTGTAAACTTGGTACATAATTATATTCACTTGATTCAAAGTAACAACCAATAACTTTAATCAAACAACCATACAACAACAAACGCACACTTCATATGGGGATATCCTCCTTCAATGATTCACTATAGCATAAGGTGGTGCACTAAGCAACTGTAGCTTTTTTCTTGTATGCCATCTGAACTTCGAATAATACAAGTTTTCCCCTTCACTCTTAACGTAACTCTACATATTTATTTAACTTCTCAGTCATTCTTTCTAATGCAAAATTAGCAGTAGAGTAATATTACATGAACTTAAAAATTAGACTTAAAAAGTAAACTTGATAATTATAGCTATTAATTTTATTATGGGTCCCAGTATTTATTACGACTCATTATCTATCCAATAATTATAATTATTAAGTCTATTTTTTAAATTTAATTTTAAATCCATATGACATTATTATAGCAATAATAGAGGCGTGAAGTTGCTTTAAACTAATATAAGAATAGACGCTAATACCAAGAAAGTGACTCTTGAAGTTTGGACAGCGCCGGCCCTATGCACTGGGCCACCCCCCTGGGGCCCAATTTAATACACATATTCGGGGCTCAAAAAATTTTTAGGGTTTCTAATTTTAAGATAATTTTAGAGATATTAAGCCGGAATTCAATAAGAAATCGGTAGCAAATAATGAGCTTGAGTTTAGCCTTAATAGATACGGGTGATAAATAAATGAACTTGACAGGTCATTTAAATAAACAGGTCAACACAAATCCGACTAAACACAAAACAAATTTGTTAAATATAACTTGTATATAATACAAAGTCGACTATACAAAATTATAAATTAAACGGGTATAAATTGAAACAATTCTGATACGACATAATTGAATGAATATCTTTTTTTTTTTTACATTTGTTTTTTTCAATCTTACATATTTTTTATGTAAATATTACAAAGATGAGTTATCTTAACACACAAAATCTTACGTTAAGTGAGGTTTTTGTCATGTCTTATCTTCTTGAAAATTTCAAGCGACTTTAGGATGAGTTCTTTAATTTTTAAACCAATTGAAGAAATATTTTAGAGGATCCTAAAAAAAGTTTCTTATTTAAACATTCTTCGAGGGATATTCTCCAATGATTAAATGCATTTCACTATCACTCTATTGATCACAATCTATTTTGTTCCAATAGTATTGCTCTTATAGAATATATAATGAAAATAAGAAGATGTACAAGAGAGACCTAACGTTTTCTTATACATATTAGAAGTCTAGATATTTGTTCAAAATATTCTAGATACACCATAAATGTATAACATTTAACACTATCTTAGTCATTCGTAATAAGATGAAGAAGGCCTATAAATGGGTGAGGATTTTCATTTGCATCAAAACCTTCAAGCTTTTGTTTTAGTTTTTAAACCTTCAAGGATGCAAAAAAATTGGTTCTGTATGAATCGAGGGATCCGGTTCAAAGGGTATAAAAAGCTTTTTCTATATTCAAGCTTTTTTTATTATAGTTGAACTTGATAGTAAGAGAGAGAAAGGAAGAGAATGATTGAAAAATTATAATAGTAAATTTGAATTTAATTTTTAGAGGGATTATGACTTAATTTTTAGTAGTTTAGTTTTATTGTTAACTTTGTTCCTTTTGAAATTTAGGGTTTTTTAATTCCATGGACTGAATTAATAAGTCGATTTCACTCAAATTGAAATCTTTTATTTGAATTTAAATCTAAATTTTTTATGAGACCTATTTCTTATATATTCAAATTTTTTATTTACGCTATTGCTGCACATCTAAAAATTATGGGACATTCTTCGAAGCGAGGCTAACGCTCAGGTTTTAGTGGCTTAGTGATTGATATTTTCTTGGATTTATCCAGATTCTAATAAAGTAAAAAAAACAGAGGAATGAGGCTACCTAAGTAGGGCTTCGTCAAGAACCTAATAGTTGTAACAATAATGAAGAGGTTATTCCTTCCCATCAATCTGAACATTAAATTCAGTTGTTTCTTAGGTCACGCTGCAAAAGAAAAAAAGAAAGGCAGAAAAATTATTTGAGAAATTCACCCAAGTTAGAAGTTATTCTCTCCGTTCTTAAATATTTATCGTTTTATACAATTTTTTTTATTTTATAATATCTATCATTTAATAACACTAAAGCATAATTAATATTTTTTTCTAAAATTATTTGAGAAATTTACCCTAGTTAAAAGTTACTCCCTCCGTTCCTAAATATCTATCGTTTTACACAATTTTTTTTATTTCATAATATCTGTCGTTTAATGAAACCAAAGTATAATTAATATTTTTACTTCCAAATTTACTCTTAACTTTTCAATACATTAGATTAAGTGGAGGTTAAGTGTCTTTTATATTTATTTCATTCTCAATACGTATTGAATAAGGATATTTTAGTCTTGTAAAATTATTTTTTACTCAAATTAGAGATATTTAATAATTTCTTTAATTCCTGTGTAAAAATCTTAAACGATAGATATTTAGAAACAGATGGAATAGTTTACAACTTTATTGTCACGATGGTTGAATCCAGCTTCTTGTCCTCTTTTTCGCACATAACCAAAATGACAAGATTAGGACATCTTGTTTTCTATACATACAACCACAAATATTATTGAATTTACATACAATACAAATTGACATAAAGAAAAATAAACGTTGTGTTGTGTACTTACCTTCCCAATGGAATTTATTTCATCAAAAATAATTATATATAGTTCACTTCTAGCTCCTGAATGATCATTATAGGGTGCGGTGCAAGAATAATGAATCAATATCTGATGAAAATATGTATTCCTATTTTTACCATATAGCTTTTGATCCCTCATAGCTTCATGGAATAGTGACCTTCAAACTCTCTCACATGCACCATTACATTCTCTTTCGATTTCTGGTCCGCTAACGATCTGAAATGATAAAAAAAAAGTGAACAGTCATATTATCTTCTTATTTCATCCTTAATGAAACCATGGTTTTTGTTATTGTTCATGTGTGTGTGTGTGTGTGTGTGTGAGAGAGAGAGAGAGAGAGAGAGAGAGTGAGAGAGAGTGAGAGAGAGGGAGGGAGCAGGAGAAGCAAGGGAGAAAAGGAGAAACCAAAGGTTCTTTTGCATTGAGCACCTTGCTTATGCTCCGTGCAATCAATGTTTTGCCAGAGCCCGGAGGATCATACAACAGCATGCCCGTAA